AGATAAAATCAATTCATAAATCATATTTCTATTAATTTTTGCTTCTATTTCTATTAATAGATTCAAAATTATATATGATATCGAAATAATTCAAGAAATTTTGATTAAATTCATGATTTTCATAATTCTTATCTAATATAATTGATTTTCTTAAATTCGTATGAATACTTATAATTCAATAATATATTATTCGAATACGATATTCGAAATTATTTATAGATATTTCATTCTATTTGGAAATTATATAAATTTCTATATTTTATTTTATAGATTATTAATTTATGAATTAATTTAATACTTTAGATAATTCAATATCTATTGATTCTAGAAGCGCATAGATAGGCTAAGAATGATCTATGAAGAAATTAATGATTCTAATAGAATATAGCGCATAAGACGAAGATCGAATAATAAGAATAGAGAATAGAAATATCATAGATAACTATTTCTTAAATTTCATTCAAAGAATCTATATGAATATATTCATCTTTTATCTTATTCTCTAAATTCATATGAAATACGAAAAAATAATATTATGATCGTATTACAATTTTTTCTATATTCAGATTATATTATATTTAGAGAATGAAAATCTATTAGGCTGCTGGGAGCGACCGTTCTATTATTATTCAAGAATATAATGAGTGAAGTAGCAGCGCTTACAGTGCTATAGCTAAGACGCTACAGCTAAGACGCTATAGCTAAGACGCTATCCTTGTTGGCTCTGCAGGGATTGGGTCCATAATCGCTTCTTCTATTTAGAAATCAGATTATCCTAGACTCCGAAAGCGTCATTGGCTGGCAATAAAATGGGGGAAATATGCCCGAAAATAAGTCCGAGAAAGAAGAGCTAGCAGCGCATGAAAATAGGTATCAGCCGCATCAGAGTCGAAAACGAGCTAGCGGTTCTTGATAAAGGAAATCCCAGCAAATATTGGACAGAAACCCGGAGAAATAATGGCTTAAATACGGTATCCAAGCAGCTATTAATTCGCAACGGCCAGCTGGCAAAGCGACCCCGGCGCCAATCTACGAAGGGAAATGGAGCTAGCGGGGCAGCATGCATGACCAATAACAGCGCCCAAATAGTCAGCAGCATTCCGCGCCCAAGTAGCCAACAAAATACGAAAAATGAAATGCCCAGCGAGGCGACCAAATTTCCAGTAACTTGCGAAGAATGATAAATTCAGCGGAATAGCCGGATAGCCAGGAACCGCTGGCACCCAGGTAGCCAGGAGCAATTCATATTTGAATACGCCCAGCAGGGAGCCGCACGGGGAAAATGAAAGGCGCAACAGGACATATAAGTGCCTAGGATTATACGGAAAATCAAAGGGTCAAAGGCCCAGCAGGGCATCCAAGTAGCTAGCCACGCAAAATATAAGGCCCAAGAGGGCTCCCAAGTAGCTAGCCGCATGCAGAAAATACAAGACCCAATAGAGCCGACAAATAGTTAGTAGCGGCCCATAAATGAAAGGGCACCCAAGTAGCTAGCAGCGCATATTTAAAAAAATCCAGCACGGCACCCACGCAGCTAGCAGCGTAATTAGGAGCAGCTCATACTTGATCAGATCCAGCAGGGCTCTCAAGTAGCTAGCTGCACGCGGAAAATGAAAGATCTGGCAAGGCACCCTAGTAGCTAGTAGCGCACGGAATATCAAAGACCCCGCGAGACATTCAAATAGCTAGCAGCAACGTCCAGCAGGGGCGAACTATATATGAAGAATGAAAGGCCCAGCCGGACCTCCAAGTAGCTAGCAACACGCGGAAAATGAGAAATCAAGTATAGTTCCCAAGAAGCTAACAGCAATTCATTCACGAATAACAGACGAGAAAGAAAATAGCCCAGCAGAGCATCCAAGAAATATTCAAGAAAAATAAATATAGAAATTAATCTATTTCTGATAGATCAATAATCGTTGTGAACCAATTCATAAAGCAGTCCTCTGAGCCTCCCACAATAATGGTCCCTTTCATAATTCGGAGAATAAACGAAATCAATCAAATCATTACGAATGATCATTCTAATATTCAAAATATTCTGCCAGAGAACGACAATCTATCAAATTGTCATGAACGAGCGTTCCAATAAAATATATTATCACGACGGAAATTTATCAAATCGCCATTGACGAATATCCAATATTCAAATTATTCTTCTCAAAGAACGATATATCAAATCATTAAGAACGACGAATATTAAATTTCAAATGATTTTCATCAATAATAATTAGAATATATTGAATTTCAAAATAGCTTTCAATCTATTCCAAATAATTTCCAATAATTTTAAGTTATATATATTATTCTTTGATCAATATCTATTTTCAATTAATAAATATTGAATTTCAAATAATATAATAGCTCAAAAAGAATTTATTCCATTTTTCTTAATATATTTTAAATTTCGAAATCAATTAATTTATAGATAATATTTAATTCATTTGAATATAATATATATTCAATATGAAATTAATATTCTTTATATTTCAATGCTAAATAATTTCAAATAAATTTATGAAATCGTATTCAAATTTTCAAATAAATTCTCCTCAGATCTTCAAAGATTAGAATTGACCCGCTATCTATAGCAACAGAAAATTTGTATTTCAAATTATTCATAATAGAAATTCCTACGAGCAAACAATCTATAAAATTATACGTGAAGTCCGATATATATAAATAAGATCATATATCATAAAATCTTTCAAATTATAAGTGCTGAACGATCTCTCAATCGGATATAATCTTTCGAAATCATACGATCAAATAAAAAGAGAGAAATGATTCCAAATCTCGCTCAATCCCCGCATCGGAGCCGATTTTTGCTTATCTGCGCGACAGTTCGTTCGCACAACCTCCCCCCATCCAACCCGGTCTTTCCATCTCATTTATCTCTACTATACGCGGCGGTTCGGGGGAGCTCGTTAATCCCCATATATAGATTCATCCAATCTATAAATTCTATAAATTTGTCGATGTCCGCCCCGAAGCTTCCAATTCCGACATCCCGTCGCGCAAACAGCCAAAGAGAAAGAAATAATTCGAAATCTTAATAGATTTTTATCTCGCGGTCCTTTGAGCGTAAAATCCTTCCATCCGGCCCGTTTTTGCCGTCTCTTTTATCTTTCTCGGCTTGTCTGCGCGGCGTCTCAGGGGAGCGTATAGATCCCGGTAGACAAATATGGTCAATCTATAAATTCTGAAAGATGTTGATTCTCCATCCCAGATTTATGTTCTCCGCCGAGCAGCCGCACAAACAGCCAAAGAGAGATAAATCATGTGGAAAATAATTCTAGAGGCGGCAAAGGATCTCGCTCTAACATCTCCGAGATTTAAGAGCCGCCCTAACAGGCCCGCAGGAGGCATTTTAAAGGTGAGCCGGAAAAGCTAGGTCGCGCGCGAGCGAAATGGCCGCAAGTGGCCGCGCCGCATTGTTGAGGTATTATGCGGTCGTAAAAATCCAAATTCATCTCAAATTTCTGTTGAAGATTACGATCGTCTCATTCTAATTTTGAATATTATGGAGCCGCAAATGAAAAAGGATTCTATTCCTATCATATTCTACTTTTCTGCTTATGAATTCTCCACTACGCGATCCCGAAATCCCAGATTCGGTCCTGCATGCGTGCTTTCAAAATTACATGTTAGTGTTCTTTTTCCTTCTGCTGGAATCGCAAGCGGCGAATGATGTCATAAACAACCTCAGCTACCAGAGCCTAGTGCTGAGGCTAGTTTAGCATACTGCATATGACGTCTAGTGTCAGCTACGAGTATCCCCCGTAGTAAGCCCTACAACACTCCCCCATATAACAACCTGCATTAGCTTCCTGTAACGGGGGTTTAGAATAGCCCATGTTCAACAGGCACCCGGTCTTGGCCTGATTGATGACTAACGCAGCTTGCAATCGTCCGAAGTTATGTCCAAGTTGCCACACTTCCAATCACGCCCAGGCTAGGGTGCACAGCTCCCTCTGCGGACTGCCGCATGGGTACCTGATTACGCGAAGTTGAAAGAGTTCTTGAGATTCAGAACCCCGGAAGCACCTGCAAACTGCATGCAACAAGCCGATTAGCCTTTATCGTCTTGGCACTTTCTGTCATGGATGAGCTTCAGAGGCTGCGGAAACCATCTGTTTTGTTGCCCAAGATGCTCGGATCCGCGCAAAATCTGGGCTCCTTGCTCTACCGGGGCGTGCATTTCTTGACAACTCAATTGAGGGCAACAATTCAAACTCGCCAGAGAAGCACAAGTACTGCAGATTATGCTCTTCCTGGCTGTCAACCGAAGCGAGATGCGTAAAAATACTGCTGGAAAATGTATCAGTGTTGAGACTTTCAACAAGCTCGGAGGTGCAACTGGTCTGTCTTTGATGTGAAGGGTCCCCTCGTCCACTCCACCCCAAACTCTTCGTAACAACGGCACAGGAAGTTCACGAAAAATTTGATACACCCACATGAGTGAAGGCTTCTCAAAACTATGTGTCCTATCTCAAGCCAAGGAATCATGATCTTGATGGGTACCCAACTGGTACTGTACCTTCCAAAAAGGAGGATTCCTCATCGACAGAACCCCAAACAAGGAGTTCTAATACATGGAACGTCCGAACCTCAAACTGTGGCATTTCTAGGGGATGGTGCCCAGGCGCTTCCATCCCAGGCTGAGTGCAACCGGCGGGCGCACTCCGAAGTCGGTGAATAGGCCCTTGGTATTCTGCGGCCGGCAGTTCAAGTAATAGTAGTAAAACCAGGAAGAAACGGCGTTGATGGCGGTAGTTGGTACTAGCAGTTGTCGTCATGCACTTAGACATAATTGCCGCAATTGCAATAGGAATTGCAGTAGCAGCACTAGTGAGGGTAGCAACATCAGCAGAGCTTCGTCAGCTTTTTCTTGCATCGAAGTATCTAGACATTCAGACTTTTGTTTCGGGAGCCTAGCATTCAATAGGTACAAGGGCTATGACTATGAAACATGTGCAACAGCGTCTTCTTCGCTTTCCCTGCATCACCCCTGGTCCTCCTCTTCCTAATGCTGGAGACGCTTGGCCTGCTGATGCATCTGCTGCAGCTGCCAATGCCAATACCGCAACACTAACGTGAGACTGCCCTTTTTGCTGGGCACGTGCGACTCAAACACTTTTGTCTTCCTAGATGTGTTGCATTTTGCTTTTCCCCCGTCTGCTGATCAATACATAAATCAATCTTGGCAGTAGGGCGCCCTCTGTCGATAAAAGCCTGTCCAAGCCAATCCGTTTTTGCAATTTCTTGAAATCAGGCGCTTAGGCACTCACAGCTTCCTGAACATCTGCTTTCGAATGTGGGGTGGATTGTTCTTGCCTGCTTTGCAAAGACGTCAATTGTTGCCAAGCCCAATCTCTAGAGGTGTTTTTGGAACTCGTGCGCACATCTGCGCATGTACCTAGGAGCTGGTAAAGGTGGCATCAAAAGTTTTTTGATGCTGTGACAGAGAAGTGCAACGTGGCAGCGCTCTAAATGCTCTATCCAGGTACTGTCCTGATACCCTTGTGCCATTTCATGAACGCACCTTTCTTTGCGCGGGTCTCCTTTACTTTTTCATCAGACGCTCTTAGTTTTGCTGACCCCACCATTTGTTCCACAACAAGAGAGAATCCACGAGAGCAAACGTGGCCAAAGAAAGCTGAAGACTCCAGACCCCGCGGCCAAGCGTGCCTGCCCGCATGAATGAAACCCCGGCCACGGCACTGCTGCTGGCTGGTCAGCGGGGGAGTCTTCCCGGTTAATCCCAGAATCCAGTGTCCACACTTGCATCCCGGCCTTGACAGGGCTAGGGCAGAGCAGTACTGTGAAGCGGTGTGTATGTCGTCATACCTGAACAGCGGCTGAGAAACCAATGAGACTATGAGAGAAGTACTCTGCATTGGAGTCCAGTCTACAGGCGCGATTCCCTCACCACTACCCCTCTCTCTCTCTGTGGCAACCTGGTGCTCCAATGAAGTTTTTTCAACAGCAGCATGGATTCCAACGCAGGACTCATGCTCGAAAGCTCTGTGACAGCTGCCCTCTGACCTCGGCGTGGAACCCGAGGTTGTCGCTCAACCCTACAACCCAACCACCGAATCGCGGCTAAACTGGTATACTGGAACAAATATCGTGAAACGAAGCGGTGCTCCGCTTTCCAGGGGAAGGAAATACTAGTAGCAACCAAATTGCTGTAGCCAGTCGCTGCAGCTCCCTTTCGGCAGACGCAGCACGACGCATGCGCAGGAAGTCCTCCGCCTGACAATACGAGACATGTCCGAGTCTCTATCTATATGCTGAATGCAAAGCATGCTGCATTTGTCAATCATGACACCGGATCTCAGTACGTTCATCAGGCATATGCCATGATCCATGTGTCTGCTGACAGGAGCATGAAGCATCTAGAAGACTCTCAAGGTGCATTTTTGGTTCTGAGACGACGAGAGTCAAGACTGAGGCACAGGTTGAAACTCTGTTCGATTCTGTTCGCCTCCTGTCTGCGAAGCACGGAATCCGCCGAAGGGTTGCGTGTGGTATGCGGACCATCAAGTTGCTGGCAGTCTACTTTCAGAAGCAGCTTTGTGCGCAGGCTTGCATACAAACCAGACTGCTATCTGCCCTGGCCTGAAGAGAAGTCTTCAGCACTTTAGGGTCAGGGGGTCCAGGCGTGTTGCCACACAGCACCACCTCTGATACACCTGCAGCAGCTAAGTTTCTGAGAAACTCTGGCCACGTAAGTTGGGCTCTGGCCGCGCCACATTTGTTTCTAGCTTGTCAGGGTCTAGCCCACCACCCTGCTCACTGATTCGAAGGACAGCGAACTGCAAACAAGACAACAAACGAGAAACAAAAAGCTAGTGATAGTGGCTGCAGGGAAACTCAAATGTGAAAAGCGCATGTGCTTTGATAGATGGCATTGACATGCAAGCGCTTGAGGAACAACCCAGGCCCTACTGGAACCATTCAACATCAACGCCTGCAGCTTCGCAAGTCCGCAGCAAGCAGCCCACCTTCACGGCGTGTCGAAAGCAGGGCCCAGCTTGAGTCGTGCGCTGGCAAGGCTATGGAAGGGTCCACGACAAACGACTATAAAAAACTACTTCTGCTTTATCACTGGTTAACACCTGAGTCTTCAACCCTTGCTGTTTTAAGACACCATCCGGTTGCTCACACAGCTGACATTCTTTAACTCTGATGTCATCACCCACTTGTTGTGCATGAGTCCCTGATCTGTCGGCCTCCTGTGGCAGGAGATCAGACAGAAGCACTGTCAGGGGTTGCTGGCGGCCTGCCACTGAGACACAGTCTGTTGAGTCTATTGTGCCTGCTACTCGGGCCATGGCTTCCGCGTTGAAACTGTCCAGCCTTCGCAGCCACCAATCTCCTCGCAGGCCAAGAAACGGCGCAGCACTACGCAGGCAGACCCAAAGAGGGAGACCATTAAAACCTAGCTGCTCACCCAAGAAGAAACTCCCGACGATACCACAAAGAACTTTACCTCAGACAGGGAAGCCAAACAGGGCTTGAGACGCCGATGAGCCGAACATCCTGGAAAGTGCGCACACTTCTGCATTGCGATAGTCTTCATGAACTCCAAAATGATATGCCTTCTCTTGGTTTTGGCGTGTTCATGGGAGATCGGGTCGCGAGTCTACTTGATCTTAGCAATGCCACATAATTCCGATCTTACCTGGCAGTACTCAGAAAGATTGATTTTTGCAGGAGCAGGGTACTTGTCGCTACGGAGCTGCTCTCGCCCTTGTTGTTTCCATATTTTGATTCCCGAAGCCTGGACCCCGCCCCAGCCTGCTCGGTGCGATCGCAATTGCGGAGCGCGACAGCTGCATCAGCTTGGCTGCGCTGCCACTCCTACGCTGATGCAGTCGCATACCGTGAAATTGAGAACTGCGATTTAACTTCAAAAAGCATCTCCAGAAGTTGTCAGAGTTATCACAAAGGAAAGGCCAAGAGCCTTGCTGGCGTTACGCTGCCCGACTTTCACTTTGCAATTTATTCGGAGTATTCTTTAGGACTGGGACTCAAAACTGAGATCCAGGTTGTTCCTCGCGATGCAGAAAAGTTGTCCGCCTGTCCAGCTTTGCCTAGCACTTTTGAGCCACAGCTCTGAGCTAGGCCAGAGCGCCTTCTAAAACATAAGCCGAGCTTAACACCAGTATCTAACCCAGATCTTAAGACTGCATCAACTCACAGTTTTTTAAGTTCAAACGAACACAATGCGAAAAAGCAGATGCACAATAATTCAACGTCTAATTTCTGAGTCCTGATACGAGAGGCCTGACACAATGCATCGTTATCCTCAGGATAGATCATGTTGCAGATTCGGTTGCAGATTCAGTTATGGGACCCATAACGACGATGTGATGCGCGTTGGGGAAATTTGACTTTAAAGTGTGTTGCATTGGCATACCTGAAAATCATCGCCCAAAATCGGAAACCTGATTCCGGCATATACCTGTCTAATCCTTCTGTAGTCCTAGTACCATCGTCAAAGGACCCTATAGAACTAGAAAGAGAGGATACCAATAGTGATGGCTAGCACCAGTAAGAGTAGCAGCAGCACTGGTGGTAGTTGATGTTATTCTTGTTTTTCCTCGGCAAGCTTTCCCGCAACGTTGCGCGCGGCACCCGGCACCATAGTACGACCCAGCTCCTGAAGGAGCTTCGGGTTCAGGGTCGTTTAGGATTCCAAGGTTTAAGGAGTTTAGGGCTTAGGGTTCATGGTCGTTGGGGATTTTACGAGTATAGATTTAAAGAAGCCTGAGGTGCACCAATTGTCCTGAAGGATGATTGCGCTGGGTACAGTTTGCATGTTGGGGTTTTGGTCTGGGGTGTTAGGATCTTGAGTTCAGGGATTTGGGTCTCGCACAGAGACAGCAATTTGAAATCTCTTCTTTAGCCTATTCACGTCCCCACACTTTTCCTGAGATGAGGCGCAGGTCCATTTAACTATTGCCGGCAGTACAAACACGGGTGAACGCAGCAGTATGAAGAACTGCAAGAATACAAGGAATGGTTGCTGAGTAATTATTCCTCGTAGACTTCAAGACATATAACAAGAGCTCACTGTGTTTCTGTGTTGGAAGAGGAGCTGTTTCGGCTAGTGCCATAGTCATGGTAGTCTTGCAGCAGCAGCAGCAGTAGTAGCAGCAGACTGCCGGTTCGCGCTCCTTCTTCTGCTGGCCAGGTATCCTACGCACAGACCAAGGAGCTCCCAGAACGTAAGCTGGGGACCCCACCACAAGACGCCCACAAGCTTAGCATCTGCGCAGCTACTAAAAATGCAGGCAAATCATGTTTGCACCTCCGCATCCCCAGGCTCCAAGAAGCTCTGAGCCAGGGTCCAGGACCCTGGCACCTGAACACGCGCAAATCTCCATAAAATAGTTGCTTAGTTGGGAATGGAGAAACAAGGTTTGTATGAGAATTGGATTGGACTGCATAAAAATCCACTCCCCCATGCCCGACTAAGCATGAGTAGGAGTCCCTGGGAAATCATTGGAGCTGTTGCAGGTCTGATCTGGAGGCTTGCTTCCTGTTTGCCAGGTTTTGGACATGACCCTACATCACGATTGATGAATTCTACATGCCAAGCATTCTGCCACATCGACGCCAACCCCTTCACTTTGACGTGACCAGGCAGCTCCATCCGCGTTCCATCATGTTGGATTCAAGCGGTCTGCCGAATTTGCCCACCACAGTTGGGGAGAGGCTTTGGAGCCCCAGAATCTGTAAGTCCAAAAGGTCAAGCCTTGCTTGGAAGGTCGTCCGTGAGCCCAAGGCCGAGATTTTGGAGCTCGCGATGCAACCGGCCGCGCCGCTCCTGCCGCAAACTTAGCACGTGTTCTGAACTGGAGCAGGACATGACGGACCTCATGACTCAGAATTGGCCGCAAGACGAGGAATGGAATCCAACCGTTTTGCAGTTTCAAGCTGTGAGATCTAGGATTAATCGTGAATGCCCCAGTGCCCCAGTGGATGTTGCATCGTGATCCGCGAATCGATGTTTCTTGCACAATGTACCCCTCCATTGCTAAAATCATCCCGGTAGACCTGCTCCATCCAGGAGACCCTAAACTTCCCGAACGCCTCCTGGGTCGAACTCCAGGGGCCTGGTGCCTGCACACGAAGTAGCTGCGCAAAATGTTGAGGGGGGATATGTCTTAAAAAGCCTTTGCAAGGAATGATACTCTGAGCCCGGTTACAGGCTGCATACCTAGGATGACATGTTCCAGTAGCTTCTACAGTCCTCAAGATGGTGATCTTCAGGAGCCGTTCTCTTGGAATTGCAGCTCTATCCTTGACATCTTCAGAGTTCACACGATGCCTGCTGCGTTGCCTTTGCCGTTGCTAGTACTACGGTGCAAACCAAGCAACAGATCAACTTCGTGTCTTTTGCGATGGCACGAGTCGCTATCTCAAAGCCAAACATCATTGCGCTGAACTACAACACAATCTCTTAGCTTCCATTTCCTCTTACATGCACCATGCAGAAGATGTGGAAGCTAGTAGTTCATAATTCCGAAAAAAGGGGAAGAACAGATACATGGATCCCTATGGAAATCCCCAGAAAGCCCTCAACAAGAGAATATCCTTCTTTGTATATTCACTCCTTCATTCCGTACTAACCACGGCTAAGGACGGGACTCTGAAAATGGGGTGTCCCTAGGGGCCCTAGGGAGCTACAGGGCTTCTAAGAGCAACATGGGGTTCTTTATTTTTCGGGATGCCGCAAGGAATGTTGAAAGAACCCTAGATCCTAAACTCTGGATCCTAAATCCCTGGACCCTAAATCCTCATCCCTAAACCCTAAACCCTAAACCGCTAAGCAAGGTGGACTTGGAAGCCGGCACTTTCTGGGAGCGCAAAGGCTGAGGAAGTGCCTTAGCTTGCTCCAAATTGTTAATTCCCAGACCCCCTAAAGTCCGATCCAGGGAAGTAGCGAACCCATGAGTACGACATCGCTCAGAATTTAGGTTGGTAGGAAACTGCATGTTTATTCTGTTAGCAGGAACTATCTGCAAAGACTACTGCACAGATTCATTCCTCTATTTCCTAGTATCCACCAGCCGTACGTCTCTGCGCTTTCGAAACAAAGATCCCTGCACGCACCTGATCTTGCAACTAGACTGAAGGGTACACCACGAGAATCTGATGCGATTCATGCAAGTAGCCAGGGGCAAACAAAGATTATGTTGCACGTCTGTCTCTGCCCTTTGTGCACCCCTCATCCAAACAGAACAAGATCAGACTATGACTGTCAGTACTTGACCTGAAGTTGGCAAACGCGAGGGCCGGGGATGTGAAGAGCTGCCACCGAATGGCTACGAGAGCATCCGGACCTCAAAGCATTCTTCTGGAAAGGATCCGCGGCTTCGCTTCAAGTGATGCCAACATGCGTGCGCATTTCCTTGTGCCCAGCATGCTCAAGCAGGGCTCCTGGCTTCAAAATACGAAAAAATATGCGCTGTCATTTCACGCAACTGCATGCCATATCTGGGCTGGTGCAGTAGCGCATCTGTATGACTGCTCATAAGGTTTGCTACACCAGATATCTTCGGCACAATGCAACTGATTGCAAGTGGGCTGATCCTCCTCGACTTGAACTTAACACTTTACGACACACACCACCCAAGAACTACTGCGTGAGAACGTTGCCTGGGAGCCTTTTTGTGGCTCGCTCACACGAGTCTGGTCGAATGCCTGAGAATGATTTTTATTAGCAGTGTCGAGCTCGGGAGCGGCAGGTGACAGCATGCTCGCCTCCCAATCTCTCAACAGCGATGACGCTGAAACGTCGGTGTCTGGTTTAACAGATTACCGGGCCACAGCGGCACCCGGTCCTGAGGTGAATCACTCAAGCTTCTCATCGCCCAGAGGTGAATGACTCAAGCTTCAAACTTCCGCTCCAAGCTTTGATGTTCACCTTCAGGATGTGGCAGGTGTGAATGCATCTTCGAATTAAACACACCTGTCCCGAACCGTTAAATAAAGAAAGCAGGTTGATGCTTCGCATGCCCGCAAAAAGAAAAGTGTTCACCCAGGCGGCGGTGCCGAGCTTCCATTTTCTTCCTTTGACCAAAGGCCACAGCCTCATCTATGACAGCGAGTCATGTGATTGCTGCTGCTTTCGCTGATCGTCGTCACCAGCACTGCTGCTGCTGCTGCTGCTGCTGCTGCTGCTGCTGCTGCTGCTGCTGCGCTGCTTCTGGCGATGGTCCCAATAGAGCGGCATTGTTGCCCGTTTTGGACTTGAAGCCAGGCTATTCTAATTGCGATTGCCACAAATGCGCTTTCGACAAAGACCATCAGCCTGGCTATTGTTGCCACTACGATGACTTGCAGCATTTCGACTGCCAATGCCGGTATACTGTCTCCAGCCATGATTATGACTGCTGTTGTCACTAGTCGTGGTCGACGTGGTTGTGGTAGTCAGCATTTGGTCGTGCAGCAAAAGTGTTCCGGCTAGGTCGCCGTTGCTGTTGCTCTTATCTCTTTTGTTGCTGTCGTTGCAGCTGCGAATGCTGATGTTGACATTATCGGTATTGTTGGCTTGGCCTGCAGAATTGGGGCCAGTCCTGGCAGTCTTAGCAGATTGATGCCCTGCCTGCGAAGTGAGGTCAGATGGTTTTCTTTGGAGCGAACGCGCTTTTTAGGATTGAGGGTATGCAGGCTGTGCAGTGCCGTGGCTCAGCTGGCACCACTTGTTTAATGAGCTCAGATGTTTAGTTGGTCTGCTTTGGAGAGAACGGAGGGAAACCATCTGACGTGCCCACAGCTCTGAAATTTGGACGGAACAAATCTGGGTCGCATGGTTTGCCGGCAGAGTTGGGACAAGTCCTGGCAGTTGCAGCAGCTTCTAGCCCTGCTTTTGCAGTGAGATGTGGCGGTACCTGTTTGTTTCGGGGGGAATCTGATTTTTGGTGATTGAGGGTAATTGCACGAGGCAGGTTGTGTGGTGCTGTGACTCAGTTGGTGGTCGGTTGGTCTGCATTGGTGGGAACGAATCTGGGCCGTCTCAAAGCTCACCTGAACGCCGCAAAAATGCCAGTAGTTTAGTTTCGACTGCGCTTGAGCCGATGCTTGGACTTCATAGGTTTTGCTCTGCGACCTTTCTTCTGACGCATTTCCACCAGTTTGAGTGGGAGAGTTGTTGAAAACTATTTCTGTCCGCTCCTTGGCTTGTTGCTTCCCACATGTTTCTCCAGAGATCTCCAGAGTAAGAGGGCAGATTTGATTCTGCAAGTGGGGCCGTGCGATGATCTGCCCGCAGATTTGAAACCCGTCATGGTCGTCTCCAGCCCTGTAAGGCTAGAGAATCAGGACTGCTTGTTCAACAAGAGGCAGAGTTACACAGGAATCAGATTCCCCGATAGTGCCAGCATTGGATTCAAAGTGGAGGCTGCGCTGGAGTACTTGATGTGCATTTGCAACTTTTGCAAGCTCAGAGTTCACAGCTCGCTTCGGCACGGCCGTCAGTGACCGCCTCGTCTGCTGATCAGATGACTGCAAAGGCTGACAGAGCAGTTCTGACAGCAACGGTGGGATCGGTCGCATCATCGTTGGCCCAATTGGATGCGTGACAGTTCAAACAAGGCTTGCTGACTGCAGCTTCAGGACAAACACCTGCCGGAACCAATCCTGCTAGTACTGTGCGGCCGTGGCAAAAGGACAGCGGGTCACGTTCGATGGGAATGGCCCAACAGTTTATGCACGTATGAATGTGCATTATGTTGCTGAGCTTCCAGAGCTGCATGAGAATACAGCCCTGATTGGTGTTTACAGCTTAGCTTATTGATTCGGCCTTGGCCTCAGACACTAAACGGTCGCGCCCGCAGTAGTTGGTGAATTTGTACGGAACGAATCTGGACCGTGGGAAGCCATGCTTGAACCCTGCTGGAGCGTCAGTAGTTTTTGTTGCGAGTGTGCTGGAGCAATGCTTTGACTTCATGGGTCTTCCTCGCTACCTTTCTTTTGAAGCATGTCCATGAGAGTCAGGGAAAGGGTTACGGAGAGTTGCTTCCGTTTCCCCCTTGTCCACCAGAGTGACAGGGCAATTTTGGCTACGTGAATTGGGACTGTACGAGCTGCACACCAATTTGAAACCAGCCATGGCAGTGTCCTGTGAGGGGTTTTGGGACTGTGCCAGCAAATTTGGGACCAGCCTTTCGACGGTGACGATTTCATTTTGGCCTCAGACTCTGGACGGTCAAACATGTCCTAGCCCTGTACGCGCAGTCAGACCATTCAATGCTTTGCTTGCGAGGGACCACCGACAGTCTTAGCAGATCCTAGCCCTGGACATGCAATGAGATCAACGGTTTCACGCTGTAAAGCTGTGACTGTATGGGCAACACTCTGTCAGATGGTTTGTCTGCTTTCGAGCGAACGATGTGGGACCGTGTGATGTGCCCACAAGTTGAAAACCAGAAGCCATTTTGCCAGTTTTAGCCGGTATTTGTAATGTCTTGTGCAGTGGTGTCAACTGCTTTGTTGTTTTGTTCTAGGGTCGAGGGAAGTCAATTGCGCTGTTTCTCAGTTGGTAGTGCTTGTGCGTGAGCTCGGGTGGTCATTTGGACTGCCCTGGACGGCTGTGTGATGTGGTTACAGATTTAGGACCAGCCATGGTAGTCATTGCAGATTCCAGCCCTGCCTTGCATTAATCGCGGCACGATGTTGTTTCTGCAGCTACCCCGTTCAGGGGCTGCTGCTGTTGCTGTAACCCCGTGACCAGAATGAAAGGGTTGTACGCGGACTTGCATAGACCGACTTCATGCCACTCTACAGTTGCGATGTTCAGCAGGGGGTGCAGGCAGCATGAACAGAACTGCACCAACCAAGGTGCCTTTCATTTGTGGTGAATCCAATAGGAAGCCATGGGCCTTTCCTGCGCAGTGATAAAGTTCTTATCTATTCTACGCGGTGCATTGGTTCTGTTGTTGCCTCACTAGTGCAGTGTAACTATTGCTCCAAAAGTGATTGCAACCACATATGAAAGCCAGAGTGCATTGGACAGTCTACATGTTTGCGTCGAGTCCGCTTGATGTCCAGCTTTCAGCTACGCATTGTGCACGGCCGGTCTGCAAGCTGACATGAAGGCACTCGTATTTTCCAGTCTTTAGATTCAGATTCGTATTGAAGGATGCAAGTTGATTGAAGCTAGCAGATCCGCATTCGAAACCGCAAACTACGAGCAGAACGTTCACAACCTCGCACCTGGAACACACAAAGGCGAAAGGAATCCCAGGCTACAGCATTTCCGGATCTTTCCTGAATGTTGTTGTTGATGATGTTGTTGCTGCGGCCGTGGTTGCTGCTGCATGTGCTGATGTCATTATATGTGTCTCTTGTTGATTGTCATCTTCCTCGTTGTTGCTGCTATCTTCATAACCACTGCGTAACCGAAGCACAGCTCTAAACTGCGGCCACCATCCAGGAACACTGGAGGGAAATGATGTAAATCACGCGCTGGCCTTTTCCCGTCGCAAATCCCAGCCGCAACCCTCTGTCTCCACTGCTAATCAGTACTAACTTTAGGATTGTATGCTAAACGTGCAAAGCCTTGCACTCGGCTGTGCATACTGCTTATTGCATTGCTAAATGCGTCCACCTATTAAGAGACATCGTGCTCCCCGATTCACCTCCGCACTCACAAAATGTTCTTCCTCTACATATCTCTATTGCTGAGCTGGCAAGGGAATGTTTCGCTTGGGTTCCTGCAATAGCCTCAAATGCCAATTAAGTTTAAACTCGCATTGCTTCAATGACCACAAATCTAGAAACTCCTGGAAACATGTTGATTCTTGGTTTACTGAGGGGAATGGATTACCAGGATCCGACTTACGGAATCTCAAGCTTGGGTTGTCAATGGTCGTTCGTCCGTCCCCCTTGTACTTGTCACTCATTTACATGCGACACATTCGACACAAGGGAGTTCGAAGCCAGGATTTGTCGAGGCAAGCACGCTGCAGGCGGATGGCTTGGCAGAGGCAAGCTCTCTCTGTGCCCCATCGCATCTGCTAAAGCTGCTAAAGTATCACAAATCTGTACTGTTCATGGCCGCTGCTCTAGTGGCTTCAGCGCAACTCAAGCTGTTCGGTCGCGAGTCAGCCGAGGCCAAGCTGCCGCTCATGCTAGTTTTGCAGGCTGCGGGGCAACTGCTTCACATGCGATTGGCACCTGCATAGCACGCCACGAAGTCGGGGAAGTGCTGCTGCAAGGCCGGTACGATCTCCCGGAAGACCTGGCGACAGTCGGGGGGGGGGGGGGGGNNGCAGGTGAGGTGCGCAGCCTCGCCCTTCTACCCGATCCAACCTGGGACTTTTTGTTGCGGAGTTCATTAAAGGCCATGGTGAGAGGCTTGGTCTTCTCGTTGGCGAGCTCCACATGGCGCTGGGCAACCTCCATCGCAATGTCGGTGAAAAGACGCTGGCTGGATGGCTGCCACGGAAGGATTGTCAAGGAGACAAGCGCCGACATCAGCACCTGAAGCTTCCAGGCACCAAAGGGCCGGGAAGCGAAGACGCGGCAGGTGGCCTCCAAGAGCTGCTCCAAGTCTTCCTTGATGTCCTTCCCCAGCTGCCGGCGGCTCTTGCACAGCTCCCCAAAAGCCCACATGATGTTCGTCATCTCGTAGGACTGGCACAGCTCCAGGTTGACAGTGGCCAGCCTGGCAAGAGCCTTGAAGAGCGAATTGCGGAAAACTCGGAGGCTGGCACATGACCAGGCGATGATGGTGCAACACTTCACAGGCATCCTCAAGTCCCGGTGTTCCAGCTCCTGCAAAACCATGCGCTCCGCCGCCTCAACCATTGACATGAAGGCGGGCGCCTGGCAGACGGTCTCTCTCCTCTCTTCCTCTTCTGTTTCCTCCTCTTCTTCTTCTTAGTCTTCTTCCGTATGCTGCGCGCGGTCCCTAGGGTCCCTAGGGCTGCGATGGGTCTTTTGGCTTTGGCTCTGGACTATATATGTCCCTCCCTCTCTCTCATTCTGTTTCCTCCCCTCCTGTATCAGACTGCTGCTTGCAAGCTTTTGAGTTTGCGTGCCTTCTTGACTTGGTCTGCCATATGCTTGAAGCGCTGGCAGGCCCGGGCTATGCGGTGGATAGCTGTTGAGAGGTTCACGCCATTCATCTGCTTCAGGTACTTTGCGGCCACTTCAAGCACCTGCGCTCCGGCTTTCTATTGGCTTTAGGTTTCAAATCTATATGCCCTTGCCTGAAAAACACATTGTTCATCTTCGCCAGCTGAGGCAGCAAGCAGCTCCTGGTTGATGGCCTTCTGCACCGCGAACTCTGCCGGCGTTTCAAAGGCCTCCCTTCGTAGACTGGCTGGAGCGACTGGAGAGTCTCGGGGCATTGTCTCGAGGACTTGAGGATTGCACGGGGCAGGAGCGGGGTGCTCCAAGCCAGCTGCAGGCATTGAGTGTGAAGGGGCCATCATAGCAGGCGCCTGGTAGCGCGCACCTCCCACTGAAGTTGATAGGAAGGGTGAACACTGGAATTGCTGGAGGCCGCCCGTCAGGCGTAGCTCCTCCAGCAGAAATGGGTTAGATGCGATCATGCCACCGGTGCTCAGCTGCGCAGGATTGTGCGAGCCCCCACCCACTTCCTCAGAATCTTGCAGATCCTAAATTGGGAAGCGCATGCTGCAAGACTGATGGGCCCTAACCAGTGCCTACTAGTGTACTGATGGCACCTGTGCTTGTTCTGGAAATCAAGGAAATGATTAGAGTCCATTTGAACCAAACATGGATCAAATCTCTAGCCGCAGCTGTTGTTTAGAAGTGGAAAGATGCGCAAAAGTCATCGCAGTAGGAAATAGGGCCCGAACCCCCAAAGGAATGTAGAATCCTGATGTTGGGTATTAACGAATATCTTGCCATGATTGCGCACAAGCATACGTTGTATGAACCGAGCATCATCAGCACAATGGAGGTTCCTTGTGGTGGGGGAAGGGTAGCCTCGGGATACTTGGGGGTGACAAGGGCGTTTGAACCACGCCCCAAATAACTACCAAATTGGGATGGGTGTTCCGCCGCGTGCCCCCCTCCTCGGCCCTCCCCCAGCCCTGTTGGGTGCTTTTTTTGTGACCTGCAAAATGGCTCTAAACTCCAAAATTGACTCATGTTTTGCTGGTGAGTCAATTTTGCAGCTCCCCGTGGAATCACTTTCCACATGGCAAAAATCACTCAACAGGCCGGGGGGCGTACTGGGGCAAGGTGGGTCACCCAAAGGGGCTCCAGACCCCCTCCCAAACCCTCCCAATGACTCACCCGCCCAGACCCCCTCGGCTACCTCAGGCAACCCTGCCCTGACTAACCCCAGCTAAGCTCCATGATGCCCGATCATACGACGTAAGCTTCGTGACGACTGATCATTGTTTGCAGAAGGATGTATCCTGTTTGGCGATATGGCTTCTGGCTTGTGCCTTGAAGAAACTTTCTGCCCAGCGCAAAGCATGTGGCTGCAGGCTTCGAGAACGAACTGCAACACAGTGGTCAGGGCAACGATGACTTTTTAAATGACATTTTTGGAATTGGTTTCCGAGTTTGTTGGTCAGTGGAGTGGTAACTTCGTCACTGCATGGTTCGGCCGTGTTCTGACTTATCTTAACTTTTAATTCATGGATACTACCACCAGTCAAAAATGAATAGCTAGTCTCATCGACACAAGCCCACTACTAGCCGCGGTGCCAGGTTTGGAAATGGTTGAGCGCTTGCCATGGCCATGTACTCCGCTGCTTTGAGCTGAGCCTTCACAGCTTCAAGCTCCTGCACCCGCCTCAAGATCTCGGACGACAGGCCCGGAGGCGTGTCTGGAAGCTCAGGACTGATCTGCTGGTTAGCCGACCACATCCCAGGCTGCCCGCTGGCAGCCATGTTCACAGTCATCGGAGCTTGTGCCTCGGCTGATCACAGGCCGCGCATGGCCATGCAGGATTGCACTTTGTTCTGGCTTTTTCGACTTTCAGGGTTCTCTTGATATGATGCCACGTGGCTAGGTTGCTGACATTGCTCAGGCCCGGCGGTGCACGCAGCAAGCCCTTGGGGAGGCCCGTGTGCACGTCCGGCTCCGAGCGCTCATCGTCCGAAGAGCTGTACATGAAGAAGGTGCCGGCACAGCTCTCAGGCGAAGCGGTGGTAGCGCTCTCCTGGCTGCCAGACTCCACCGTGTTGTTCCTCTTAACCTTCGATTTGCAGAATCGTGGCACAGGAGGGCTCTCAGGAGCGAGGCCTGTGGTGACTGTCGGCATGTCGAGCATGGCCATCTTGAGCAGGTGAGTTCTGTTACTGGAGTTACTAGAGCGAGCCGTTAAATGACTGCAAGTCAGCCAGTCCATTGAAGCATGAATTCAGCCATGCCAAAGCCTGAAAGCCTCATTTTAGGTAAACTTGACTCAACGAAACGAAAATATAACCATTACTACTATTGTTATTATATGTGTACATACATACATACATACATATGTATATATATATATATGTATGTATCTCTCTCTCTCTTTCTGAGATCTGCACCTCTGGTACCGCCGGCTTCCCTCAGCTATGACAGCAGCTGTCAAAAGGCCAATGCATGCTGAAATCAAAAAAAAAATCCCAGCCTGAAAAGTTGACGGGCAGAAGGCGCATGCGACCTGATTCGTGCACAATCCTTTTGCAAACTGCAGAATGACTTGAAGCGCTTGCGCTTTCCGTGTGCTTAGATCTTGAATTCCCCTCGGTCCTATGGCTCTACATAGAGAACGAACGGACAGCCAGCAAAATGCGCTTTATCGAAATCTAAAAGTCCTAAAACACCCGATATCACTGCCTGCCCACTGGGTTGCAGGCTGGTGGCCCAGCCACGGTAAGCCCAGCCACAGTGGCCAAACCTGGTCGACAAAATTACGGGCAGCTGAGGAGAACAAAGGTCCTGTGACTATGATGGAAAACTGTCATGAAACGACCAAGCATGGGATATTGATATAACTGTCAAACCTTGCAATGCATGGATGCCCCTAGTTTCTGTTACGGGGCAAGACGCAACTGTACTTGTTTGAGAGGGTGGTCGCAATGGGAGGACCGGCCTGCGATGCAGCTAAGCATGCTGGCGACACATCGGGGATTTGGCGACCTTCATTTGAAATGTCTGCTTGGTTCCGGGCTGGAGCGCATCTTGTCTTGAGAAGCTAACTTTCAACGAAGCTATTGCCAACATTGCAATGTGGCTCTGAACAAAAACAAAAACAGATAGAGGCCTGCAAAAGGCCTGGCCCTTCAGCCGGAAGCTCTTTGAACAACGTGGCACCTCGTTGGCACAGCCAGCCACTGCGGCGGCCAGCGCTTCATGTCTGTGAGTAGCCTTCATTAGCTTTGGGGAGCTTGCGTGAACTTGCAGTGCGTGCTTTTCTTGCATGCATGCCTAACGCGGGCCTTCAAGATGCTTTGATTCAAGCCAACTTGGAGCTGCGGAGGATGCTCATCATCAAACATAATCTAGCAACCAGCGCTCAGATAGCTCGTTGCGAATTTTGCCGCATAAACAATGCGATTCAACTGCAACTCGGGCATGCCGGCCCAGCTTGCAGAAAGCTAAAACTTTCATGACATGCTTGCAGGGGAGCCCCAGCGAAAATGCTCTGCTTCCGCGACCGGGAGGTCCCGCTTGCGAGCAAACACAGAAGGACCGGCAAGCCTGCTCTGCAACGTTTCTTGAGCTGGACGGACTTGACTCTGATTCCTGTTTTTGAGACGCAGCTTGCTATTGAGGGAAGTGCTGTGCAAACCTTTTCAAGGTAGTTCTCTGTGTCTTCCAACAAATTTAGGATCCTGGCGGCCTTTACCAAGGACCCCCGTATTTCGAAACCCTACCTGATGGTCTTTGACACATGCCGACGATTCCTGCGCACGTTATCCCAGACCCTTGTTTCCATTTTCTGTTCCACCATCCCAATATAATCCCTATACACCCCCTATATCTTTCTCCCCTATATATCCTCTAAATAACCTCATATAATTTCCATATATGCATCCAAAGAAATAATCGCATGCCGTCCCTGCAGAACAGTCTCCTTGAGATGCCGCAGGCTGTAACACCCAGATCACCATAATAGATTCACCCAGCGCTGCCTCTTTACTGGCCATTGGTTAGATAGAAACTAAGGAAAATGTCCTCATGGTAGTCCCTATACTACCCATTATAATAATTTCCATGTTCTTTTCCATTCCTTCCAAACCCTAAACCCACTATATTAGTTTCCATTCTTTTTGTTCAATTCCTTCCTTCCCAGCTAACCAAAGGCCAGTGTATCATCGTATGGTCCCCAGAGTTGCCTGACTTTGCCTCCTTGGATTGTCGGTTGCTGCTTTGGGGAACCTATCTCTGGGATCCAACACACGGAAGACGCCACCACATCTACCAAAATTGCTCTGCGGAAAATGCAGTTGTGGAAGCGCTTCATGTGAAAGTTTCTCCACGGACGACTTTCAGGTAACAGTTCGCAGATGATGTATTGGCCATGCCATCTGAAGTGGAGAAGCCAATATGTACATGCATTGATGCGTTGAGACCCTGTCACAGCCTTGAGCGCTCACGTTGATTTACATCAGACTTGCAACTGTAACCTGCCATCTCAATGCTAGCTACCCTTAGCAAAGAGGATTGCGCCATGCAGGAGATCTCAATGCACCGTCCTGACTCTCTAGGATAGCTTCATGTAGTGCGCGCCGCGACTCTGAATTCAACTCCAGATCGTGCAATCAGGCAGCTGCAGCAGGCTAAGCATGCTATAGACAATTCACAGTCTGAAACCTTGATTGGGGGGCAACTCGGGCACACACCGCCCTCCTTCACGTGACCAAGGGACATAAGTTCACAGAGCTGCCCCAAATACTCGCAACAACTAAACCTAGCTTATGTACACCATCACTAAGTAGATGAGGCTCTCAGGATCCTTTCTGCTGCAGCGCGCTGACTACACTTCTGCACGTCCGGTGCGCATCTCTGGAGCCTAATTGATGTCCCACGGATTCACGAGAGAGGGCTGAGGCCCAATCGTGTGATCTTGATAAAAACCCGCTGAAAATGAGACGTCTGTCGGCTGAATGAGATGTGGCTCGTCGTTAGACTGCACGCCTTCACCAAGACTCGCTGCTTTCTGATCAGTAGCTGTGCACACAAGTACCCAATCCCAGGCCCAACACTTTCCGCGGCCTGTCGCAATCTGGCAGTTCTGCCCGAGTGGTATGAAGAAAGGTAGCAAGGTTTATGCAGCGTGATATGCATACCCCAAGCAATGTGAAGAACTCAAGAATTTCTGCCAGAGCATCGAAGAAAATTGCTTTGGGTTCTTCTGTGCAACAGCTGATACAATGCCATGATAACTTCATTTACTGTCAGAGTTTTCAAGCACCGAAGAGCCATCAGTAGTTTGGGAGAAAGGGAAAATCCACCCAACGCAGTCTTCGCCCGACGCGTCGCCTGTGCAAATACCACGGCAGAATGCATGACAACTTCAGCTGTGCAAGCTGCCGTGTGGAGCAGTTCCAAGCCAAATACTTCTTTCACCTTGGTTTCTTGCTTTACCAGGTTCATCGTCCAGTGCAACTACATGGCTGGTACCTGCACCTGCGGCAGCACAAGCTCTCAAGCAACCACCGCGGTCCACTTGGAAATCCTCAAGCCGTCGAAATGGGTCTGATCTCCGGTCGCGTGTCTGGGTGTCACGGTATTGAGTGTCGCGCGTCTGCCTCGAATAATGAGTGACCTCCACGTCTGCTGTAAATAAGACTTCTGCGCAAAAGTCATGTAGGCAAATCATTCTTCAAGCAGACCTAGATATGTGGCACGATGTAAGGGCTCTGGTTCTTGCGAAATCCCTGCAAGATTACCCTTGGGTATTGACAGTAAAGAGGTCGAATATGACCGTGCCCCCTCATGTTGAAGGGCTTGGGTAATAGAATGGATGTGGTATGATGTGGTACTGCTTATAGCGGCCCTAAACCTTGGGAGGCAGTGATCTCTGCCGAGGCAGAACCGTTCAAGCTTTGTGGGGGCATCCTTCGTGCCATCTGGGAGAGTGGCATGCGCTCTTGTATCCCAGCTTCGGCCCTGGGCTCTCATCTGCTTGCGCCCAATCATTTTTTTGCAATTTTTACAGGCACCAGAATTAAAAGCGCTAGGAGAGCACATGCTCATGGGCCCAGGGCCGTGGTTTGGCACGCTGCAGAGAAGCCTAGCTCTTGCTAGGACGGCGCAAGCTCACAAACATGATAAGCACAGAATTGAGTAATCGACAGAAGTTACATTTTGCAAACATGTGCGACGTTGGTCGGGTGTTGGCTGACATCTATAAGACGCCAAATGGATGCTGAGGATCTGACTTGCGTCAAAAAGGAGACTCTGGGCTTCGTCAAGATGTGTCTGGGGATCATGAGCTTGTGGCACTATTGCTTGCCTATTGCAATTTGCAATCTCTGCTCCAGTCCATTTTGGCTTAGAAAGCTATTAAACCAAGAGGGTGAAAATGCAGTCCAGCCAGTCCCGTTCGTGAGCTTGGCAGGGTTGCTGGAGGCTGTCGTTGCAGACCTATCGTGCAGAAACACGAGAATTCCTGAAAAAGTAAGACGGACAACGAGCCGGCTTATGTAGATCAACACGACTTTGCCAATGCGTTTTAGCCCAGGCCCAGCTCGTGCCTGCCAACTTTCAATACTCGAATCGGCAGCAGCTCGCCGTAGGCAGCTGCGGAGAAACATAAACAGCCCAAGCTACCAGCAGGTTTGTTGCCAGCAGCTCTGCAAAACTGAGCCTGCAACCCAACATCTGGCAGCCATGCATGTGCAGGTAAGTAACAGCTGAAGTTTGAAACAAGCATGCTGCACAGGACTTGTACGGGTCGCTTGTTCCAGCATGGCAGGTGCACGGATGTCCCACATGCTATTGATTTGCTCGAAGTAGAAAGTCTGGCTTTACCGGGAGATAGCTTGGCGTTCTTGGGGTCTTGATGTCCCATCAAAACACGTTCAATCCAACGGGAAGCTACCATTGCACTGGCTGTCTGTTGGAGAGATCACTCTGTCCTAAACACAGTTTTCATGCGACCCTGTCTGTGCCATTGATTTCCTCCACCTATGACTGCGCACTGTGATTTGACGCCCTGACGCTGCGAGGATATTGGTTATCAACTTGGCGGTCCACCCGAATCCAACTCATCTGACTCAATAATAATTGCGGATATCATAATTGCGGATATCATCCACGTCAATCAGCTTCTCCTTGCGCCAGGCTGGGTACGTCTGCCTTGTGCACAGCTTGAACACTCCGTTAGGCAGCGGCTTACAGGGGCCAAGGTGACAGGTTGGCCTGCCAGTGTCACAAACATGACATAGCACAACCATACCTCAAATGGCCTGAAAACGAAGGCCTGCGCAAATGAACCAGCCATCTCCGCAACAACTGCAACAGCAACTAGTCTTCATCCCGATGCAATGCTGATCCTGTGCGTAATAGGGCTGGTCGTCTGCAGCGTCATCAGCTACCTGCGCGGATCTACCAGTGGACCTTTCTGCTGACAAAGCTAGGTAGCCCAGAAAAAGTGATTCATGACCCTGGCACCTGATGGCTAAGAATTTTGCAGCAAGTGACATCACATGCACAGCTCGATCCATGTCAAGCCAAGCGCGGAAGCTGCAACACCTAGTGAGTTCTGCCACAGGCCTCCTTGCTGCGAGCGCCTCCACAAAGGTTCGCGACCTGGGTTCTCAGAGCTGAAATGTGTCACATGCGCAAACTCCTGGCATCAGCGCACGACGGGGTGATGAAACTGGCATATCATGACGTGAGCGTGTCTTGAAGAGGCGACTTCCACTGCTCGAGAGGTCGTTTGAAAAAAGGGCTTGACACCAGCCATGGGGTCATGAGCTTCTAGAAACGCCATCCCCCAGCTGCTCCCTCTGCAGTACCCCCACAACCTCGGCAAGTTCTTCACTTTTGATCGGCTTCTCTCCTGGTGTTCCTCGATGTCACTGGACTTGCGGTTTGCCATTAGGGCTTTGATTCATTTAGATTCACTGAGGATGGGGCCAAAATTATGACAACAAGCTGCACCACTGTGATCGAACCAATGACAAGCAGCAGCAGGCCTGCGACAGTCATGCTACAGGTTCTAGTGGCCTGGCCTTGAAAAATAAAGCTCGTTTAGTCAACTGGACGACTGCCAATTCATGGCTTGCTTGTCTTCTGACGTTGCGTGCACTTGCTCTAGGCAACTAAAGCAGGCGCCTGCATCAACGCCTTCAATTTGACTGCCTGCGATATCCTCTCTGACAATTATCACTCCATCTCCCGTCAAACTACCTAGAAAACAGTTGCGCTCGCGATCCCACTTCCGCGATTATCGCTTCTGCTTCTCGTCGTTCCACTGCTTGAGAAGCTGAGATGCCCTCGTTTCCACACAGTTGGTTGTGATACGGAAAGGCAAACACCCCGGAAGGCATGTGGAAGACTGGCGAAGACACAAGGGCCAGCCCCTTACACCGACAAAGCAGGCTTGTGGGCTCAAATCACTTGATGGCCTGAACGAGGAGCTAGCTCTTCTTCAGGAACTGGCGCTGCGGGGATTTGCCGTGCCTGCTTGTCAGGCTTCACCATCCCAGAGAAGCCAGAGTGCTGTGCTGCACTTTACCGAACCATAATGCTCCTGCATGCAACCCAGTCAAGGTCACAAACCTCCATTAAGGCAATCCTGCGTTGCCCGGCTTGCCTGGTAACTGTGGTAGATATCCTTCAGACTGTACCCCGCGCATGCCGCGACTGCGACACACCTTGCTTGGCAAAGGAGATCAGCAAGCATGATGACAACAGCGGTTAATGCGGTAGTTGATCAAAAATCCCGTTCCCAAAATTGCCCGCATAGACCTGCCGGATCCCTCAATACTTTCCACAAAGAATCTTTAGATCAACCCCACTGTCGGATCTGCTTACCTCCAAAAATCCCATGCGAGCCAGCATAACGCATGCATTTCCAGAGGATGAACACATTGCTGGATGGTGATCTTGAACCTATGTGCTGAAGGTGTAAAGTCTACCCTGCCTCGATCTACTTTGCTTGTCCTAGCTGCTGAGCTAAGCTGAGAGCTTCATCTCTAGGTACGATGTTATTGGGATGCTGCGCTCACATGACTTCCTTGGACTGCCCCAGCAAGCAAACCTGAATTGCCAGGGCCCGAGCAGTAGGATGACGGCCAAAAGCGATCTGACCGCAGAGTAGACAGCTTTGGAGCGGCTGGAATCCTGATGCAGGCTCCAAGAAAATTTGGCTGGGGCTGACTGCTCGATTACGTGTAGCTAGGGTACTGGGGAGCAACAGCTCATCCCGTGCTTTTCCATGACTCAAATCGATTCAGAATACCGTTTTACTGAGACGGAAGGAACCAGCAGCAGCAGCAGCAGCGGCGGCGGCGCCGCCGCCATCACCACCACCAACACCACCACCACCACGACAAGTAATCGTGTACGTACTCTTTCTATTGCTGGCCACTTCTGATGCTTCCTAATCTGCAGCAACTGCAGCCGCTGTTTGTTCCGGATTCAGTGCTACGTACATGACGACCGTTGGCTGCGAATGTAATGCATACGAGGAAGGTACAGTGCTCCTGATACAGTAAGGTCTTCCTGTTCCTGCGCTATGAAATTTTCAAAGTCTTGACCAGAAGTTGACTAGCACCATGGCTTCTCGGGAAGTGTTAATGCTGTGCCTCGGCTGCTACCGCTGTTGATGTCCTCTTTCTCTTGCACTTGCTTTGTACGACTTGCACGAAGAAATAGCATACAGTTACCTGTTCTTCCTGTTTGCTTGCTCGTCTCCATCTGGCTACTACAACCTACTGTCAGCCGTACAGCGAAGACCCCGCAAAAGCCGTGGTTGCTGCCGCATCTGTTACAAACATCGCTTCCTCCTCTGACCATCGTGATTGTAGTGACGATCATGACAATGATCGTCATGATCATGATCTGTACAATGATTGTCATCATCATCAACATCATCATCATTTTTTCTTCACAGCTACCCTTCCTGCCTGGCGGTCGTCTTCGCCATGGCTGCTAAGAATTTGATTCCATCGCCGCACGGCCTCCTCGCCTTGGCATTTTCTGCAGCTTCTTGGATGCCCTGGTCATGGGGGCATCCAACTTCAGCACGCTGACTGCTGATTTACCTATAGAGGATTGTCACCTTACGCGCCCTACATCCAAGGTTCTTCGCCTCTCAGCGTCATGTTCACTGGAGCATTGCCTGTAGCTTCACTTCTGATCTGAAGTCAAGCCTGGATTGGCCATTAACAAAGCCTGAGCAAGCCTTGCAAGTCCACTAGCGGGTCGTGCAGGGGCTCTGAGGCTCTGAGGTCCACACACCAGCCTTCAACGCTTTGGAACTCATGGCCTGCATACAGTTCGCATCACCATGCAGCAGTGAGTTGACCATGACTGGGGAGAGATGAATAAGAAGTGCGGTTCCCATAGTGAAACAGCCCCTTGCTTTTGTCGGATAAGGCATGGGCTTTTCACAAAACATCTTTTGGTACTACGTCTACAGAACAATGCTTTCAGCGGAGGCAAGGATTGTGAATTGTGGGTCTATGTTGCAAGGACATGCAATAGGCTGGGTCGTATCTGGGGTTTCTTTGCAATGCACAGGAAGAACTGCAGAATCCCTATGACGATCTTCAGTTTTTACATTGGCAGCCCCAAAGCGAGGTGGTGGCCTGCTGCAATGTCCGCCATGCCAGCGGGTCCTCAGATGTTGCACAGCGTATGCGTGCACAATGTATAGTATGCTCAGAGAAAAGCTCACAACTCAAGATTGTACAGTCTCCAGCATGCATACACATTTGCTCACGAGACCTTGACGTTGGGTCAGGCTAGGTGGCGCCCGCAAGCCACCTACGGTCTAGCATGCGATGCCTTCAAAAAGGGGCCCCTTAGTCTTCATGCAGCCAAAGATCTGAAGCTCCTTCAGGCACCCCTCGAATCACGCGTCTTGCGCTTGATCGCGCACTGCCCAACAGCGCGCAATGGAGTATGCCCAAAGGTGTGATGGACTGATGCAGATATTCCTGGACTCTCGCGCGTCATGGATGATCTGCCAAACATCTCTGGTGACACAATGTGGCCATCGCAGGTGGTACGTACTAGCCCATGGATCAACCTAATTTTCATGGCTGCTGTCATTGTCATGTACTAGAAAGCGCGCTGGAGCATAGCAGCCAACATCAACGAGGCGGGCGTTTCATTGCTTATTTGCACTGGTGCGTCACTGAGAAAAATGCATAGAAAGAAATTGCCTGTGGAAAGCACATTTTCGAGTTTGCATGTTCTGTCAATGCAACACTGTCTTTGCAGTGTGCCAGAAGCTGCTTTGAGCCTCTGAATAACCCTACCAGTGACAGAAACCAGGTCAGGATGAGCATGACTCTGGTGGCGACGGCTGACCTGACTTGAAGCGCCGCTGGGAAATGCTTCTAGTATCGTCTAGTGATTTGCGGTGAGCTCATCGATTTATGTTGTCTCTCATTGTTTTGCGTTGATCTGTTAGAAAAAATGCGTTGTAGTTGCAGTGGTGCAGTAGCAGCAACAGCAGCAGGAGTGAGGAGGAAAAATGGAAGGGGTTGGTTGATTCGTAACGCTGGTTTACTTTGAACTGGAATCTGCCGTTCTCTTAGGGGCTGGATATTTGTTGACCTGTAAGACTGGCTTAAGACTGCAGTCCATGTTACCTCTGTAGGACTGGCTTAGAATTAGAATTCAACGCGAACTAGGTCCGCTTGCAGCACTAAGGCGGCACACCAAATCTACGGATATCCCTCGCCGCTCCTGGACATGTAGTTGCTGCACTGCAATCCATACTTTCGTTAGCCCATTGGTTTTTGCAGTATGAGTACTGGCTTATTAGTCCCGGAATCCATATTGATGTGAGCCGGCTAGAGCTTCCACAGAAGGACACAAGTGCACCCAATGCATGAGCTACAATGGTGCTTGATAATTTTGAGGGTCCCTCAAAGCAAGTCATTGCCTCTCAAATGCGGATGAGCGTGTTCTCGGAAGGATGGTCACGGACAGCACCTCAGAAATTTGCATAGACAAGCGCGCTGACAACGGACAGCAAGATGGAACTGTGTCGCGAGCTTCATAAGGCACTCCATCAACGGGGCAACTCTAGTCTTGGGGTCGCATACAGCCTGTGAAGGCTCCCTGCATGCCTCCGACGCCAGGGCACGGAGCCCAAGGAAATCCAGAAGTTCAGGGGCAGTCCAGGCACTGGCTGCAATGACGCCCCTGTCCAGGATGCTGGTTTTTCGAAGCCGGGTATAATGAGGTTGGTTTTGGTTTCAGGTCTGCACCGTGCCAGATTGAGGGCATAACGGCTTTTAAGAAGAGAAATTGGGTGTCCCCTTTTCTGGCAAATTACCATATAACTGTGAGGGATTCCATCTGACTAGTATGTAATCACTCTTGACTCACGGCTGCTGCTGGTATTCCTATGGGTGATTGTCAAAATGATGGTCCCTTTTTGGGTACCCTGAATACTAGGTCCCGTATTATACTAGGATCGAAAAAGGGACCATAATTTTGACAGCCACCCCTATTGAAACAATTTAACACAAACTCACGTGCTGGGCGTAGCCGAGTGGCTCTAGGGCATCCGCTTGGAGCTCTTGCGTGTACTTGTATTGCTCACCTTCAGTGGCTTAAGCGGCACATGGCTATGGAGCTAAGTGGCAAATGTCACAAAGAGACGGAGAATCTGACAAACACAAAAGAGAGACATCTCTGTTTGGAAATATGCAGCTAAGTCTTGGACAGTATGCCCGGTTCTTAGTCAGTGTTGCGGTGGCCTCACCCTCAGCCTGAGCGCAGTTGGACACACTTCACATCAGGGGCTGCAAAACAGTCTACAGCAAGGGGCCTTGGCATGCAGGAATGCACACTTTCGGTTGATTTGGTAGTTTCCGTAAACAGGGAACCTCAATGTAGACCCCCAAATACTATCATTCTTTTTGAGGCCCCCCACCCTAAAAAAGGTATCCCCAATTTTAGGAACCCGCGTTTCTAGCTGTCAACGGATGCTGGTCGGAGTACAAAGGTTGGGTTGTGGCACTGGTCAGCACCAGGTCTTTAAGAATCTCTCCTACTCAATTGAAAGCCGACTGTGGCTTCAGCTTGATTGTTGATCTTCTTGACGGCCTGACATGGTGGGCCATGCAACATCCCGAGAGTGTGGGGAGGGGGGAAATCACCTTCTACAGCGGCAAGGCCGACTGAATGCGAGGCGCATGGACGTTAGCAGCCGTCCTTGTTTAGTTCATAATGTTACTTCCAGCATGACGCTTGAGCTGGCCTGCTCCGCTTTGAGCACCTCGGTTGCGAAAGTCACCTGCTGTCCGCATGCAAGAAACACGGGTCGATCTAGGGATGAGGCACAAGAGGCTTGTGCTTGTGTGCTTTGGCTTGCTGACTTGCTGAGAGTTTTCAGCCTGTGGGTTGCCCGCTTCCTCGTGACGACATGCCATGGGCGAGCCAACCCCATACAACTACTGCACAAGCGAGTCCCCCACTCTAGGCACACGTTGAATGGCTCTTCCCTACTTCCGCCTCAACCGAGGTCTTCCCAACTATTAGGAGCTCGAAACAACCACATGAGGCTCAGTTATCGAAGGAAATGCGAAGAGTAGTAAGCTAGGCAGGCCACTGAGGGTTCGCATTGTTCCCATGCCAAAATGAAAGAAGGGGAGAACAACCAAACCAAACGCATGTCAGAGTGAGGTCTGACCCCAGCAATGCCAGCAGGACTTTCCCGCAAGTCTGTGCCTTTTTCTTCTTCTGCTCCAGGCGCGCTATGTGGATGTGCTGCTCTTGGACCTGACGAAGATTCTGCCCCCGACACAACGCCTCAGACAGACGCTTGAGTACATGCACCTCTCATTTCGTTGGTAAAGTAGTTGTTTCTACAGAGCATTCACCTGTCAGGCCCGATGGAATCTTTGAAAAGGCTCAGGGATTTGGCCGTCACCCTCCCACCCCCTCCCCCCGGCCCGGATGTATCCGAAGCCTACCTATTCTCCTGGCTGGTGCGCCGATGCAGCCGGTCCCCTGCCTGGGTCTCTCTGATGGCATCCTCAAAGTCGTCAGGTAAGTGCACGGTACGCAGCTGGAAGAACGGTACCTCCGTCTGCGCAAAGTCAAGAAACAGCAGGAGTACAGGCCAGCCCTAGTCGTATCCAACGCATGTGGGCTCAAAGTGCATGTACAGAGCCCGCAAGCATGATGTCGCTGAAGTCCTTTGTGTAGCTTTGTCCACAGGCTGGTTACGCTGAAGCCCTACATGGAATGCTTGATTCATCCCACTGGCATAGCATTGCCGGTTTCAATATCTCAGCCACCCAGTAGTGATTTCAGAACCAATTGCCGTGGTGCCCTTGCCCTTGCAAAAAGGTTGTCTGAACCTGATGGAGGCAATTAACAGTGAGGAGACAGCATTGATTTCCAGGCCTCTGCGAAGGCATGTTGCCGGAAATGCTCCTGAGAATGGAGATGTGGGCACAGCCAAGGCAATTTCTACTAACCATGAACTGCTCAAATGGAGGGTGAACAGCAGAGACTCCTAACAGACCTTAAAGTCAACTAAGTCTAAACCAAGCTGCAAATGCTGCATGGGTCCAGGCTACCTACCAGCCGTTGTACTGCGTAACATGTGTCCAGACAAGAAACGTGAACAAGCCCGTTCGAGATATCTGCCCATCAGCGCATAGGCACATAGCCACTGCATAGTGCAACTCTCGTGGTACCATAATTTAGCGGAATGGAAGGGAGCAGTATGAAAGCCACTGGTGGGTCTGACGTTGCACCAGGCAAAGCAGTAGATTCAGATGATGACGCAGTTTTCTATCCTCATTTCTGGCCCAGTGTCGTCAAGCTTTCGATGCATCTCGGTGCTCACGTACGTTCTGTTCCTCGTGTCTCATGTACGGTTCGCCTCTTGGCTCCAAAACTAGATACGAAAACCGAAGGCTCCGCAGAATTATATAGGGGCGATGTAAGGGTATATAGGGATAATGGAAAAGAAAATGGAAGCTACTAATTTAGGGCTTAAGGTTTTCAGGGCCGCCCAAAGTCCTGAAGAAGAAATGCGCATTGTGGTTCGTGGTAGCTGTGGAGAGCTGCTCCATGGCCATCCGTGTAAAGGTCGTCTCGTAGTGGTCATGGCCCAACGTTGCCCACCTCGGTCTAGCTATTCAAAGTGGCAGTTTCCCGAGATAGGTGGACCCAATATGGACCCAAAAATACTTTAATCCTTAGTATAAGGGACCCCCAAAAAGGGTAACCCAAATTCTGGCAAACCCCCAAGTCAACTGCAGGAGGGGCCTGTGCAAGTCACTCGGGACCCTGCACTTCACGAAGTTCAATACTCCAGTCTTTGCTGGCGACAACTTTGATGGCTACTGATGTGACCCCCTACCCTCATTGCTGGTGCCACGAATCTTTTCGTCTAAAAGTGCGGCATCTGCCAGTTGCTTGAATGATTTTTTTTTTACGAGCTGGCACCGCAACAAAAAAGAAGAGGGCTCAATTGGCAGCAAAAGCTGGACCCAAACTCGGCCAGTTGCAAGTTGTACAGCTCGTTGAAGATCAGCTTGTACTGGAAGGACACCTCCTTAGATGCAGCTCACTGGAAGGACCCGTCGGAACAGAACCATTCAGGAAAAGACCAGGACGCAGCAATTCAAAGAGGACTTTGCAGGGACATCCAATGTCTCGGACTAAAAGTGCTCTGAGGACTGAGGAACTGTTGTCTGAAAAGAGTGGTTGTCATTCCATCATCTCGGGTCCATATCGTCAGGACATCCAAAGGCTTAATAAGCTGCCAGATAGCCGAGCTTCCAAACGAACTGTGAGGCCATCCTTTGTTCGGCTTTGAAGCGCCGGCCCCTGGAGGCCCTCTGCCCAGTCATCAATGAAACTGACGGACTGCACCTGACGAGTCTAGGATTGAAAAATGACCAACAACATACATGGGAATGGTGATAATCAACAGATCTAATGATGATTCCACTTGCCCTGTCCGCAGAAAAATTGCGTGCCAGGTTGGAAACCCTGGAATTTCCAGCAAAGGTTGCATCCTACTGGAGGGCACGAGGTGCCTCAGGCAGCTGTGCTAGATCTCTGCAACGGCTGCCAAGGGATCCGCTACTGCTCACTTCAGTCCTGAAATTATATGGTTGCTCAACTGAGAAGTGCTGTGACCTTGCAGTGTCACATCAGTGAGGATGAGCGCCAGCTGCGTGTAAAAGCAGTATGCCGCTTGAAAGAACTCTAGCAATTCTGGCTGCGGATGCTTGGCCGAGATGCTGTCCGGGGGAATTTGATGAACCGATTGGTGACGCCCAGATAGTATCCTTGAAGCATCATCACTCTTAGAATGGCAAAAACAGCTTTAAGAGCATTCCATGCAGCAGCTTCAGCACTCGGAGCTGTGCTGGTGTCCCTTTGGCATTGCGCGGCAACGAGGCATCACAATCATCATCCTCATCCTCACCACCATCAGCATCGTCGCCGCAGTCAGTGCTCGAGCATCCGTGCAAAATCCGCATGTTGAGCATTAACGCCTGAGAATACTCCAGCCTTTGCATCAGCAAACTACAAGATATTTCTGAGATCACAGCACTAGGCGACACAGTCAGAAGGCTGAAATGCTTGGACGTGGATCGTCCGCCTTATCGCTTCAGCCCATCTATTCACCTGCAGCACCACTTGGCCAAGTCGCTGCCAGGCTTGTATGGCTCCTGCCAGGGTGCATGCAAATCTCATTCAATTCAGAAAATGATGTTTATGACTGCGACACACTGCTCGCATTAAGACTTTGAATTGCTGTAGTGAATGCAGGGTACCGGGACTTTGCCTTTCTCTGCCCGCCAATGATGTTTTGCGAATGCGTCACGGAACGGCTCTTGTCCGAGAGGAAGCGCGGTGGCTTGTCATCAGCAATGCTACATAACGGTTTGGCTCGCTTGATCATCGTAGAAGACCATCTGTGGAGCTGGAGTAGTGGCCGACAGCAAAACAGGCGCTTTCAATTTTTGGCTGCCTCTGAAAGGACGATTTGACTAGGAACCTCGCCGCCGCCCCGCTTGACCGCTTGAAGAAGCTAGATCTGGCTACTGGTTGGGGACGTGTCTGGATCCTCAATGAACGTGGATACTATGAATATGCCACTTGCTGTTGGCACAGTGCCACTATGCCATGCTATGTCATCCCTGGCTAACCCCGGCCGACAGAATCAAAGATCTACACAAGGTGCATGGCTTCGATTTTTGCTTGGATCCTCTCCTCGTTTTCCTTGTTGGTAGTTGTATGTCTGGGCCGGCCATCTAGTTCGGAGTACAAGCCAGGCTTGTGGAATTCACCTGGTTGTGCAAAAAACTACAAGTGGCTCCTTCTCAACGCTCTCGCTCAGGAAGCTGTAGTTGAGCCCAATCTGCTGATACCTTCAGTCGATGCCATCACATGCGGATCGTAGCAAAGTAGCAAAGTGAGCTTTGCGATTGGCCTTTCGCATCCCGCCGTGCGCAGGCAAGAGTTTCCAATCAACGCTCATGCCGATGGGCCTCCTAGAGAGTAGTGACGTGCAACCGGTACTCCGCACCCGCAGAGGTAGCAGGGTAAGCCTTAAGCCCTAGCGCCAAGCAAGCTAGAAGCTTGTGTGTTGCCCGCGGATCGTTACATCCCTTAGAAAGAAAGGTGTTGGGAATCCTTAATGGTGTCTTCTATGCTCCAGCATGCCAACAATTTATGCAATTGTAAGCCAGTTTCGCAGACTTTTGCACACCACAGGCTTTGCATCAGCCCTGTCAGATTTCAGAAGACGCCAGTCTTTTGAAGGGGCCTGACAGCTTATAGACTGCAACATGCGGACAATAACACTCCTGCCCCACAGCCCAAAGTCCTTTGCTGCACTAGCGCGCAGGGATGAGAATATCAAGGGGGTTGCAGGCTTTGGCATTTATCAAACACTACAAGGCGCTGAGATCAGGCCTTAGATTCGATTGGATTGATTTCGCTCAGAAGACCCGCCAGCTGCACATGCCTAGATCACAGCTCCCGGCCCTGCTAAGGCTGCTAAGGATGCGGCTCTAAACTGTCGAAGCTGAAAAGGAAAAGCAGAATCATCGTAGACACTGCCACGACCACCACGGAAATCAGCCAACATTGCATGGCTGCAAACCGGGGGGTCTGCTCAAGAGCCAGCACCCACAGGCAACTTGGCCTCTTCGCAATGCAGCCTGCAACAGTGCAGCTAGTAATCGTGCTGAACCTTGCTGAAGTCTCGGATTTCGAGAGCCTTTGGTAGATGAAACCTATGCAAGCGTCAGCATCAATCAATCGCTTTTCCAAACCCCTGCTACCTTACTTGGACGTGTCACACTATGGCAGTTTGTACTGAGCCTCAGTGGCTGCGGCATGAACAACAGGGCACATGAGGATCGTTGGGCGATCCCATAACGGTCACGACCGTGATTGGGATTCTTAGAGAGAGAGAGAGAGAGAGAGAGTTTGTGATGGTCTTGCTGTGCGTTCATGGCCTTGCCTTCCAGCTCTCGTAATGCAGCATCATAGCGCAGGTTCAGTCTATGAGTCTGACTGTTGTGAGACGTACTAGACAACGTAGATCTGCATGTGGCAAACGGCATTGGAATTCCAACTTTTAACGAAGGCATATTATTGCATGGACATGGGAGGGATCAACTCCTCTTATGAGTCGAGGTTGCCACGCCTTCAGGCAGAACAGTGCCAGCCACCGTTTGTGGCTCATACCAGGGGAGCAGCACCTTTGGCCACTACCCTGATGCTGACTCAAGGGTCAGGATCTATCCCGGTTTTGCGAGAAAAAAAGGCCTAGTGACCTAGAAACTACGAGCAAATCTTGCTCAGAGGCCCAAGCCAGAAAGTATAGGCCACACAACACACCAAGTGCACTTTTAACTTCGACTGCGTACAGAGATGCCCAAAAGCTAGCTGTGGGATGGACATGCCCGGAATCTGCATGTACGACGGAACATTGTGCCTCCCCCTATCTAATGCAGACAGCCACCCTGCTGCAGCTTCTCAGGCCTTCTTGGTCACCGGAATCACTGCGTTGAAGGCCTGCGCCGTTCATGTGACCCAGAGCCAACACCACCCCGGTGATTGCTTTTTTCTGCGCCCATGTCACAAAAGCTGGCCAAGTTTGTTGGTGTGGTGCTACACTGACGTCAAATTTTGTGGCAGAAAGGCAGATCTGTTTGAAGTGGGCTAGGCTTCGAGGCCTAAGTCTTTAGTGACTTCTGGTGCATCTCCCAGATGGCTTGAAAGCAGCTACCAGACTCACCCGGAGCTGTTGTTCCAAACACATCGGAGTTGGATGGCCGCGTAACTCTGCTGAGATGCAGCCAATGTGAATATACAAATGGTGGTTTCCCAAAATTACGGGTACCTTTTTGGGGGTCCCAATAATAAGGACTATAGTATATTGGGGTCTATATTGGGGTGCCCTTATTTTGGGAAACTACCAAATAGGAGCTACGATCCAGGCCAACCTTCTTGAACTCTGAAAAGGTAATGGCGAAGTCCCGCGTGGTAGCAGCCTCGTGTGCTTTGGTACTTGCTGTCAGGCTTGTTGACCACGATTAGGCTATCATCTGCGCTGCCAGAAGAGTGCAGAGATCAACAGGCCTTGTGCATCATGTGCCAACAAGATGTCAGAGTCGCAAACGACACGACTACTCCCTACTCTCGTGCAAGTTTGATATTTCAATGCGTACTATATTACGGGCATGCAAACTCGCGGGGCCGTTCAGCTGGGCCTACAGGTGGAGGACTACGTACTCTTGAGAAAGTGTGTCATGATTCATAGATGCCCCTGCGAAGTACAAATGAACAGCATCAGTGGGTAGATAATGCCACAAGTTCGATGAAGCATGATGAAGCTAGGTCCTTTTCATGGTCAAGCAACGTTGAGCAGATCAAAGGCATGGAGCCTGACTCAAAGCTACGACGCCCCACGAGACACAGATGCGACGCTTAGAGATCCGGAGCCGAATCTCCGCTATTTCAAGTTCAGTGGTGTTTCCTGCCATCACAGCTTGCAGGAGTGGACGGCACAAAGTACTGAACCTCTAAATGACGACAACCACTACGCTGCGGCTTTAAGTGGCTCTTACATGCTGGTACAGAGAGTTGCTGTGATACTATAGCTGCGTAAGAAGCTCAATGTCCGTCCCTAAACACAGAAGTCAAAATCACGCTCAGCGGCATGAGGATCGTAGATGAGACGTCGTTGCTTCAGGTACTTCTTGTTGGACCCGCACTTGGCACAGCAGAACATGAGCTCGGATCGTGGGCAGGGGTCTGATAAGCATACAGGCCTTTCGCTAAACTCCAAGACGTCGTCATGGTGCACCGTCAGATTTGCCAAGCTTGGTGGGCTTGAGCATACGCCATCAGATGCAGCAATTCTTGGGATGATACAACTTGACTACGCGTATGATAAGTTGTGATTCTCATTTCTTGGAACAAAGACTCCACATTGCGACTTCGAGGGATGTTTCACAATCAGGGCTCGCTTGTTGGGATCCACTTTTTTCTGCGGCTGCCGCGTTTGAGGGGAGTCTACGGAGAACTTCGACATCAAAGTATTGCAGTATATGGATCAGGCAAGCGTCGTAGTAGACCTTTTCGTGGGACAGCCAGCATGAAATATCTCCTGCCAGGTGACCCAACTAGGCAGGGAACACCCCTTGCCTGAAAAAGGTGTGTCGATCATGGTACACGGGGCGGTCCCTTTGGGAAGCCATCCATGAACTCCGGAATCTCCACCTTTGCGAATCAGGAGGGAGCATCCTTGCGTACCAGTTACGACTTGATGCAAGTCCATCCCAACTTGAGCACACTCTGCTGACCGGGGTGCAGAAGGATCTTCGGCTTGTCTCCTTAGCAACGCTGTGGGGTGCCGCATGTGAAGCTGGTTATGGGCGCGAAGGCCAGGAATGGCCGAATGGAGTTGCCAAAGCGACCATGGTCTTCGAAAGATCAACTTCATTGCAAGACACCCCAATATGCAATGCACTTTTGCTGCCGTGTTGCGCCTTTGCTTCAGCAATGATCTCATCTTGCTCCTGCTAGGAAAGAGATGCATGAAATCAAGACTGGAGTGCCGTATATGGGTGGTTCTCAGAATTATGGGCCCTTTTTGGCGATAGAAGGGGTACAGTACCAAAGTGGGACCCTAATTTTGGGAACTACCCATGCAGCAACGCCCAGAGAGGATCCTGTATGCATGTTCCGGCAGACTCGCCCGCTTATATCCCACAACTGAGCAGGGCTGCTGATGAGATCCGGAATCCTGAAGAGGGCTCGCAAAGAGGGTTTAGGGTCCCAGCCAATGAATCCCTTCCCCCTATTAGGAAAGCCCTGCCTAACAACAGTTGCAAAAAATCCTGAAGCGTGCTTTTCAAGATGACCACGACCGTGATCAGGGCCAAGTAGAGTAGAGGGGTCTTGAGGCAAGCAGTTGGGTTATGACAAGGAATCACTGTGATTGGGGGCTTCCTTCATGTCCTACATATCTATGGTGTTAGCGGATGCTGATAAATCAAGGAATTTAAAAACAAATATGCGCGATGACGGAGGAACTTTTGCTGAAAGAAATTAGCCAGCGATTTGACTGATGACGGGAACTATGACCGACCAAAAATTCTTAATTTGAATCGGCACATCAGTACTTATTGAACAGAGATAGTCAATCAGGGATCTCCTTGATTTACAAACTCACCAAATAAAGAGTTTCAAAAGGCTTGCTCTTGAAATAGAAAATGATAAATGGGGCTCTAAGTCTTGCATTATATTCCAACCAATAATCAATCCAGCCGGCTGAGCACATTTTGCTGCTCAAACCTGGAAAGCCTAAATACAACCCATGATAATAATTTACGTTTTATTTTCCATTATCCCAATATAACCAGAAAGGGAACGATGCCTTTTATTGTTGGGGTAAGGCGATTAGTGATGCAGCATTCCGTAGGCATCTGTATATATCAGCCTATTAGAGTAGCTTCCACTTTGTTTTCCATTATCCCAATATAACCCTAATATGACCCTAATATAGCCCTAAACCCTACACCCGTAGGCTATCCTCTGCCTTCACTTACGCAAACCTCCAAATCCCCGAAGCAACCACCACACACCCACCGTTAGACTCATTCTCCTCCTGGCTCAGCGGCTTCTTCTTCCTGTTCGAGGCCCGCTGGACCTTAGCCAGTTCCAGATCCCCAAAACATGGAACCTCCCAATATTTTGGGGTAATATTGGGATAATGGAAAATAAAATGGAATCTACTATAATAGGGTATATATTAGGGTTATATTAGGGTCTTTGCTACACTCTCTTTGTCAATAAGTCGGAGAGGCCAACGTGTGCAGATGGAGTGCCAGCAGCGCTTAACAGACCAAGCTCATGCTACACGTGTACAAGTTGGGCGTTCGGAGTGCCAGTTCACCCGAAGTGTTGGTCATAAGTCATTCGCCCGTGGGGCTCTAGCTTTTGCTACTTGCACGTCCACAGCCACACCTTTAGCACTACACCTGATTGAGTCACAATAGAAATTCTTGACGAGAGTAACCTTGCAAATTTACTGACACGGACGCAGAATGCAAGCAAGCCAGGTTTTGAGGGTGATGCGTCAATCTGATCGAAGATCTCCTTCCTTGGATGAGCTTCCAGTCATCTTTTGACACAGGTGTGTGCATAGTTTGCACAAGCAGGGGCTAGGTACTTGCAGATTCCAGAAAAGCCCAAGAATCACTCAGCCAAAACAAACTTTCGGATTGGCGTCGAGCACTTACAGGTAGAACATCTGCAGAAGGGATGTCTCAATGCCCTTTCCTGCGATGTTGAGAGCTTTAGACGGAATACTCCGAAACCCCAGCCGCATACTTCTGCAGTGTTAAATTAAAGATTTCTCGAGGTTCATGCATGTCCTCTAGCATTTACTGCTACCGAGCGTGGGGCTCCTCGTTTTGCAAAATTTAGCGGGCGAACCTGAAGTTGTAATGCATTCTTAGGCCTGGAGCTGTCTCGCAAGACCAAAAGGACGCAAGTCGAACACAACACTCGGCGAGAAGATGGCACGGATCTGCTATGGCAAGTCTTGCTGTGAAGCCCGGCCAGTTTCGGCAGAAGCAGCTGCCATGTTTCCGCGGAACGCTATTCTGGCTATTCTGGTTTCATGCTCCCGGAAACTTTGCCGCAGAATCTGGAGATGTGGTAACGTACAACGACACGGGTATATGTTTATAATGAGAAGGATAATGCAGTCCACAAAAGTCAGAAGTCGCAAGCTGGCAGAAAAGCTGCCACATCTCTGAATCTGTTGACTCTCTATAAGGGCTGTCCAAGTACGTAAGCTGAACCATAAACTCCTGAGACTATATCTCAAAACTTAAGGCAAGGCTTCAGCATGTCGTCGTCAATGTCGAAGCCAAGAGACTTACAACTCCTGAGTTAACAGAAAGATGAGATACATCCATCTCACAGTGCGGGTGAGGATCAAGAAGAACACAATAGCAAGGAGTAGCAGGAGTATTTTTCGGCATAAATTACAAGTTGCAATGCAAGAGCCACACGAAGAGAAATATTGCTCGAGCCAGGAAGTGCCTAGGGTGTGTGGACAGGCGCCAGGGATTGCCAGTAGCTGGCCCCTAGTAACCATGGCAGACGGGTGCCAGCCAAAGCCTATCAAACTACGTTAAAGCCGCCTAGATCCACAGGTCGAGGGTGAAGAGCACAAATCAGACCAATAGCACGGTTGTCTCTAACCATGCAGACAAGACCTCTCGGTGCAAACAGCGTAGGCAGCACTTGTTGGGAACGCTAGGCTTACAAAAGCCAACAATCCAATGGGACTGCGGACATTCAGAATGCAAGCCCGTCTATGCAAACAGCCTTGTTTCGAGTCCCGTTCATTCGCAAACACGGGACCATCATTGTTCTTTGAAAGCTTCCATTGGCCGGAGTAGATTCAGTAGGTAGCGACTGTGTGACTCTCGCCATGCTGAATGGCTAGTTGCCAAGCTGCGAATGGAACTCGGTGAAGGAAATCTTGCCGCTGCCGTTTTCTTGGAGAATCAGAGCATATCAGAGCAAGCTTTTGGCCGTGAAGCACCAAGTGGGGGCTTCATAGGGCTTCCGGAAATCAATTAAGGATCCCTCCTTAGGAGTCCCCATATTGAGGCTTCGAGTATATTGGGGTAATTTTGGAAACTCCAACTGCTCTAACTCTGCCATGAAAACCAACAACCCTGTCTGCATCATCAACTCTGGGGCAGGCCTAGTCATGCTGTTCCTGACATTCAGGGGATTTCCATGAATAGGGGGTCCCAATACAAACTTCAGTCTACGAAATTCCTCCTTAAAGGTCCTCCACAAAAAGAGCCCTAATTTCAGAAACCCCCACCTAGCTTTGTGGACCTATGGAGAAAGGGTAGGCTAGCTGTCGAGCGCTGGGTGGGTCTAAACTTGTGTGCCGCTCAAGCAGCCATCCATCTTGCGGAAGATGTCCTCAGCTCAGTCGTAGCGGCTAGGAGAGACATGAATATGAGTTTTCGAGGGCAAAATGATCGAGCAGCAAGCCTACGAGAAGCCATCCAAAGCAAAGGGAGAGCTGCTTGGAGTGCTGGGCCTGTAGCAACCTGAACCGCATTGTGCTGCTAGGCTGCCCGAAGCTTTGTGGGCTTCTCACCTGCAAGATAAAGACTTGATGTCTCATGATGTGGGCGCTGTTCACAGTTGCCCCAGCGTTAGGGCTCCGCGTGTGGGCATATCAACACATTGCAACAAAGTGTGCACATATAGGCATGATTAGCAAGTATGAGGAACTATTCGTTCTTGCGCCCGCCCCTGCGCGAGCTTGCGAGCGCGCGGGTTTTCGCAACCCTCGGCAAAATCCTATTGTCGCCCTGAGTCTTGCTACCATAGGTGTGGGTCTAGAAAGGTATCCACGTCTTTAATCACATAGCCACCCACAAAGAGATACGCATTCTTTGAAAGGCTTCTCTCCGGCTGAAGCGTGGACACCGAGACTAGTCTCATTCAGCACAGCAGACTCACCAAAAGCACCCCGCACCCTTGAGCTCAACTGCTCATGCCCTTTTGGGAAGCAGGCTCTGAGGCCTTGGACCCAGCAGCCAACACCCTGCAAATGAGGGTTGCGCAATACAGTGTTCCTTATCCCAGAAATGCCCTTGAGTTGCGCTTGCGCGCGAAGCTTGCGTGGACCTTTCACGCGCAGGGTTTTATCTGAAATCACTTTTCTAGGACTTGCACTTATAATCTTAGAATTCATTATTCGTCTGGGGTGCACTTGCGCCAACCTTGTGTGCGTGGGGTTTTGGGGCATGTCGTCATCATCCTGCCTGGAGCTACAGTAAAAAGAAAGCATGGGTTTTGGACAACCCTCAAATGAATCCAGGTCCACGTTTATCACGGGAAGATACAACATTGCCCAGTTCCCAGTGCCTTGTTCCTGCGCAGTTTGCGTTTTCAGCGCGGACCACACTCTGCAAGGCACAGAAGTGGAGGTGCGCCGGCGCTAGCAGTAATTCTTTGAAAATATACCGCAAGTAGAATGTGTATGGAGGTTCCTTAACAGAATCCAGCCTTCCTCTGGCGGGGTGTCCTTTAGCTCCTGAATGAAGGCAACAAACTCGTCCATAGCCTGGCTCGAAGTTGGTGTGTGTCCGTCATTGGCACAGTGATCAGGAGTCCTTTTCATCTGCGTCTGTGGTATGCAGCTACTACTCTATGCATTTCACAACCCGCAGGCCCCAGGCTTCAGCAGGCTACACTGCGCTACTCTACACTGCGCTGTGGAAGACTGGACGCAGACAGGTGACGGATCCGAACCCATAGCATGCAGGCGCAGGACGATGCTAAAAGAAGGAGACCCTAAAGCGACAGCAACATTATGTTTACTAGTGTTATTTCTAGTATTCCGACTGTCGTTTCTGCTTTTCCTGTTGCTAATATCTTAGCTAGCAATGGCAACGCTGCCTCAGAAGCTGTGGCTGGGCCACCCATGACCTTCTTCGTGATCACCTCGGCCTCCAAGAAGGTTGCAAGCTGTTCCGGGCTATGTAGGTAAATAGCTCTGGTACCGTGTCCGAGTACTGATCTGGCAGGCTCTTATTTCATGCTGGCAGGGCCTTTACTCGATCTCTCAGGTCTAGGGCAACCAGGACCGATTGTGTAACCCAGCCCATGGTAGACGTACAGTCCAGTACTTCAGGTGCAAACACTGGGAGATCCTTTTGAAGACGATGTCATGGATAATTAGACCAGCTCCAAACGTCAAGAAGGAGACAGACATGGACTGCTTCTAAATATTAAGACAGCTTTGTTGGAACTTAAGGGGTTGAGAGCATGCAGTGTTTGTCTTGCCTCCTTGGAGCCATGAAAAAGCCACTTCACAAACTCTGTGTAGGACACCCGGTCGTCGCAGTTTGTGTCCTTGGATTTTAGGGCGCTCTCTGGTTCTAGACACCCGAAGCATGGCCAGCGGATGTCTACGATTTGAGGCGAGTTACACGGCCTTTCGCAATGGGGGGATGTGGAAACTGACAACATTGTGTTCCAAATTGAGAACACTTTCTTACTACTTTCTTCGGGGCTAGGTCTGGGCGGGGTTTGTCGATGTTGGAAGAGCGCACAAGACACAGAGTAGTCTTCACAACGTGTAGCAACATCGACTCTGTTTGAATAGGGTGAATTCAAAAGGGAAGTGGAATCAAGGCCGACACTCCTGCATCAGCAACGCTCGTCATCATCAACCCATGACATTTACTATCAGCAAATGCCTGTATTGATGAACTGGACCTACCAAGAGCATTCTTGAAAACCGAACTGACAAATCGAGCAGATCACTGCAACGCGAAACCAAACCGAACCCTCCGCTGAATGGTGAAACAAATGTTGGGCTGTGTTTGCTTCTTTCTTTCTTTGGTTCGTTAGTGCTTTCGTTCGCACTATGGTGCTCTGTCTCTCTTTTTCGTCTTGGGTTCAGGCTGCACAGGAGGCACGGAGGCCGTGGGGCTGACCAGAATCTATCATTACAGTCGGTAAAGAAGAGGATCGGGTTTTTGCTGGAGGCTGAATTAGAATTTCTTCCCCAACCTTAAGCTTCGTGCAATGCCCCCGTGCCCCGTGAAAGGTCTCCAGGTCAGCTACTCCACTTCCCAACATTCAGAATTGCGAATGAAATTCCCTTAACACAGCCCCTGTGAGCAGAAGGCCCACTTACGTGCTGGTCCAGCCATCACACACTCATAAGATGCCCATGGCCTGCTGACAAGCCACCATGACTTTGTAGATCTTGGTGACCTGGGACTTTTCCGAGCTCTGCAGACTGCCGTTTTTCCGTGTAAGAACTTCTCTCTCCAACCTTCTCTACATGCTGACTCCACAAGCAACGCTTTGCAAATGTAAATAAATTCCAAACTGGTGATGCTTGTATACTGCAGCTTTCTCGTGCCACCACGACGGAGCTTCAACGGCCCAAGAGCGGCCAAGCCACATCAGCGCTTTTGAGGCCGATAGCACAGAGTGCACGTCGTAGCTCGTCCGTGCTCAAAGTGCCTGAGCAGAGCCAAGGTGGAGTGATCCTGGTGCTTTCACTCATAGCCGTTGTGCGTCAGCACCCAGCTAAGGTCGCAGCCATCACAGTTGGAGTCAATGCGATTGAACAGGGCTTGGAGGCTGTCCTGGAGGCTGATACTCAAGATTTTGGCCCACCTATGACTGAGACAGGAAAAATACGAACTTCGACGGTCTGCTCCTACACTCGCAAGGCTCGAATTGTCCTTCTGCGCCCATTCCTCGACAGTTCCAGAACTCATGGTGCCCCTCGGTTGTCCAAGGCCCTGAATGCTTCGCATTCGAAATTGCTTACGCAAAGATTTGCACAAAATCGTAGAAGGCTAAGGCACCTTTGGACTCAGAGCTAAGGCCGCGGGCAGGAGGCCGCTACAGTAGGATTCTTTCGCCCAAGCCAAAATGGAGCACACGTCCACACTTCTGCATCTGCAACAGGCTTTTCCTGAATTGCCTGAAGAAGCTTGTCTTCTGTATGCCTTGTTTGAAGAATTTGCTGCTGCCTGCATGCTCATGTTGCAGCCTTCCAGATATGCGGCATGCAGCACTCGCAAATTTATTCACAGACCCATGCGCGCAGAGGAGGAGCGCAACATCCTGCCCATCTCTTTCTGATGCAGAGAAAAGCTTCAACCGAAAACCTGGTGAGATCGCCCATGCTGTCTCAGAGACTGGAACTCCAGAATTTCCACCTCTCAGCTTTGGGCGTGAGGCTGCGGAGGGATCAAACATACAAGTCCCAGCATCTAAATGGTACCAACACTTGGAGGGTCAGGGGGACTTGGCAAGTAGGTGAAAAAGGAGGCATAACTAGGAATACTATGTGGCTTGCAGGGATTATTCGCTTATTTACGGGTTTTTCCTGACCCTCGAATACGACTATAATCTTTTGGGTCTATGTGGCAGTTTCCCAAAAGACGGGACCCCAATATAGACCCCAATACACCATAGTCCTTATTCTGACCCGTAGAAGGGTGCCCCCTTTTCTTTGAAAACTCCCATATTGGGGCCCCGCATTTTCCGAAACTCCCAAGTTCACGGGGGGACGAACCGGGCCAAGCACCATGGCTTTTGCCGACGCTGAATTTGAAGACTGCAGGCCTCACCTGAAAGGACAACTGGGGCTGGGACAAAATTCTCCCTCAATAAGGGAGAAGGAGATATAAACGAAAATGGAAAAGGACTTGGAAGCTGCAAAGTATAAGAGATATATGGGATTATACGGATAAGAATGGAGAATCAAGTGGAGCAGAACTTGGTTGCAAGGGGTGTTTCTAGGATTCTTGCGTGTGTATTTGTATATATATATGCACATATTTACGTACAAATTCAGCTCCCCGGATATGGGAAATCTATATAAGGACCCGGATCATGTCAGGAAGCTCGCTATAACAACACGTATTATACGGAATGGAAGGTACTTCCCAACTTGCGCCCACGTAAAAAGCGAAACATGATGCACCTTCTGCATGCGTCATTGGGCCATAATCCGTGTATCTGCCACCCTTTAAGACGCGACGCCTGCTGAGGAACCGAACTCCCTCTATAACTTAAATAATAAGTCTTAAAGCCTTACGCCACAACTACTTCTACAAAACTCTCACGTGCATCCTAAACCCTGAACCCTAAAACCCTAAACCCTAAACCCTAAATCCTAAACCCGAATACCCTAAACCGCATTCCCACGTGCAGCCGAGCAGACATCCGTGGTCGCTTGGCCAGTCTCCTGTGGCCTCACAGTTACGGTGGCTCTCCAGGATGGCGCCTTGGCTGCTTTACTTAAAAACCCGTATGTTTAGGGTTTAGGGTTTAGGATTTAGGTTTTAGGGTTTAGGATTTAGGGTTTAGGGTTTAGGACTTAGGGTTTAGGATTTAGGATTTAGGGTTTAGGATTTAGGCAGACCCGTTTATGAACCCCCCCTGTAATCGTGACTATAAGGGATAATGAGGATTAAAATAGGGTCCTATTGTATTCCTATTATGCCACTATTACAGGGGGTCTTCCTAATATGTGGGCACTATATATTATATAGGGGCACCTTTCTGTAATACAGGGGGAGTATAGGTGGAATAGCTAGTAGGAAATAACTTGGCGGCTTTAGGGCCAAGCCAAGGGGTTTGTCGAAGTTGGGGATCCTTCCCCTGAAGCAAACACGATAGCGTTGGAGGGAAGGGGAGGCTAGATTAGATAAACGTAAATGGAGGGTTGGAGCATTCAGGACTTGGAACGATAAGCTTCTTCAAGTGGTGTGGATGTACGGTATCTAGTTGCCGGCGGATAGGGTCTTTACTGTTGCTGGCTATTGTTCTAGTTGTTGCCGATGTTTGTTTTCTTGCCGCTGCGATTAAAGAGTTCCTGACACATTGCCATTTACTGTGGTTTTTCAAAAAATCAGGACCGTTGTCGGCTTAATTTCGTTGTGACTGTCGACTCAGCACTCTCTGCAAACATCTGGTGACTTGTAAATAAAGACTTTCTGGGCAAGCTATAAAGTTGCTCGAAGGCCCACTCTCTCTGCTACTTTCTTTGGAGGAGTTTGAATACCCAAGGCGCTGGCTTCACTCCATAGCTACAGGCAACTCGGCGAAATCAACTCCAGCCCTCTGCCCATAAGCTTCCTGTTTCTCTTTCCCTCTTTCTTTTCCGGGTCCTGGGCATGTGAGCAGCACTTAGCTGGCCCATCCCTTCCCACCTTTACCTCTCTACCCTATCTCAACAGTGCCTTTTTTGGCGATAGATGGTTCAGGGCCTCTACATACGACACCAATCACTGGTCTACTATTGCTAAGATACTTCTGTGGACTGAGCTCTACATGGCAGAAGCATGAACGACTCAGCGAACAGCGACCGAGGCACTTCTCGAAACAGGATCACAGACAAGGTTCGTCTGAAACTCCTGCTGAGTCGAGCACAGAAAGTGTAGCATGTCTGTGGAGCAGTCTGATTTGAAACTGATACCCTGAACTGGACGCCCCAATTAGGCTTCAGCTTCCGCGCAAAAAAGTGTGATGCTGATTGCCGATATTTGGCCATTTGGAAGAAGCCCCCTCACAGTTTTCATGTAGCTGCAAGAGCTTATGTCTACTGCCCTGCCCCCATAATCCAAGGTCTCAGGATGGCTTCTCAACAAAAAAGGCCTGAAAAAGACAGGCTGACATCATCTGACATCCTCAAAACCGCTCCCACCCTACCCTTTTGCAGGCGATCCTTGGTCCGTTCTCGAACCCAGATGTAATCAATCTTTCCTGGCATGAGAACACAGGATCTTGTCACACAATGCAGTCATGCAGCTGCACCAACATTTCAGCGACGGTCACCCATCCCCAAACACAGTGCTGAAGTTTCCTGCTTGCAATTTTGGACCTTCAAAGCCTCAGAGATTTGGACGAATCTGATTTCTGGCTGAGAGTCTGGTCTACATTCGGGTGCGGGAGCTTTCTTTTTGCAGGCCGATAGACGCTCCATCAGACTTTTGCAGGGCAGTTGTCCCCTTTGGCAGATACGATCTTCTTGGCTGGGGGGGTGCCAAGGCTGGAAGACTGCGACAGACTACACTTCAACATTGAAGGCCTGTGTACTGTTGACTGTTTCTGCGAGTGCCGCTGCAGGTTTTCAGCCGCATGAAAATGCACATGGCTCATGAGCAGCAGCCTTTGCCCGAAGCTTGGCCCTCCTCCTGCAGCTTAAGGTAACAAGCATCCGTCAACTAGTCAACGCTTCTTCGGCTTCTTGATCTCTGGCAACTGCTTCTAGCTACGACCATACTGCAGCACATGCTTTTGAGGAAGGCGTTGATGCCGGAGCTAGAAAGAGCCAGAGCCAAAAAAATAACAGTCAAGATGGTAGCACCTCGCAACCTTCATCATAGATGTCATTGTCCAATCAGTGACGATCTGAAGTATAGTGGAAAAGTTTCATCATCAGTAGTGGGGTCGATCTGATGTCCGGTGCCACTGAGCCCTGCAGTGATCAGGCAAGTCGTGAAAGAGCTCGCATGCAAGTCTCTCAAACTTCAAATGAAGTCATGGTTGACGCTTGTTCCAACTCCTGCTTGTTTGGAGGGCGCGAAACTTGAGGCAGGTCCGGCGCACGCGGGATCGTCATATAGCGCCTCTCGAGTTGATGCAGATTCCCTTCTGGCTCGAGGCCCCGCTATGTCACTATGCCGGCAGCGCTGGGGGGTTCTGAGATTCTGCCCTGGATGTGCAAGGTGAAGTACAGCCGCTACTGTGATCATGCAACAAAATCCGTGTTCGGCATCTTGGGACCTGCAGAATGGCCTCAGACAGAATGGCCCCTCAAATAACATAGAACAAAGATCTGCTACACCGAATCCCTTGCTTCTGGAATTGACATTATCCTCGGCTTCACGTTGACCTGCCGCTTAGGCGCCTTAACTGCACTCCAGTAGATTACCTTCTGAGACGTGCTGTGGCGGAAACAGGATCTTCAAGTATTCAAGTAGTTGCTGCACTGAGGTACAATATCAGCAAATGTCAAAAGTAGCCGCATGCACTATTTCATCAGATCACCACAGCCTGCATCTTGTCTCGCACAAGGCCGTGTATCCTGAGGCATGCGCCCTGCTTCTTGCGCAAATGGACACCGAATGATGCCTGGCCGGTGATAAATTTGGGCCGTATTTCCTCCTGGTCGAGGCTGTGAGTTGCATGGTGGATGAGAAGCACCCTCGATTCTGATGCACAGATCATGATTGAAAAACAACACACCGAATCTTCTTCTGAACATGCAATCACAATGCCCCACTGCCGAACCTGATTGCAAACCCTTGATATGGCTTGGCATGGCGGATTGTAACGTGCATCTCACATAAACCAGCCTGTGCATGCCAGTCCAAATTACGTCCGGCTCAATCTAATTGAAAAGAGTTTGTTTCCAACATGTGGATCCTGCGAGGAACCTGTGATTTCGTATAGCCCTGGATGTACCATATGAAAACCTAGGAAAGCCGAGCCCAAATTGGCAAACCACTCAACTTAGCGCCGCGATGTCACTCCGATGCTGCAGCTACAAAAGGACCATGTTGCAGAAAGCTTAGCCTCAAGACTTCGATTCAGCAAACGGAGTATGTTTCCCTCCAGGATCTGGGCATGAGCTTTTTCACCCTGGTTTCTCTGTTTCGCTTGCCGGTAATGTGCTTCTGGAGTTTTTGACACTTCCGGTAGTCGTATGAGCTCCCAGGTGCTGAATACAAAGCCTGAGTTGAATGGCATCACGGGCTACAGTCTTCAGTTTGTATGTTTCTGCATGCCCTGTTGCTTTATTCGGGGTTGCCTAGGTGGAAGGCGTTGAAGTTTGATTACTTCGTGGGCTGGCGGGATTGGCAGCTTATGGCTCCAAAGTTTGCTGGAAGCGTTTTTGGTGTTGGATGTTGGAATTTTCAGCGCGTTGAGTCTGTGGGTTTCTAGGTTTAGGATTGGAGGAGTTAAGGTAGGACGGTCTCAGCAGTTGCAGTACGCTACAAAGGCACTCTATTCGGAGTCTGTAAGTACGTAAATGCTCATGGGCTCTTATTCAATCGCCTGTAAGAGACGCCTACAGCCGCTATGCTCCAGCACGGCCTCTGGATACTGTAGTCTCCATAGTATGTAAAATCCGTAGATGATTCTTGGATTCTTGGAAGAGGCAGCTGCCTCAAGTTCTGTCAGGCCTAGGGGGGGGCTTTCTATGGGATCTGGTGATGCGAGGATGAAGGGTTAGGATCTGCAGTGACAAGGGAAAAAAGCTTAGCACATTACAGCCTGCCTTCACTTCCTCCCTGTGCCGCAAAATCTTCGTTGAAATCAGCCTGTTGTGCATGTGCTTGTCTCATCTTTCACTGGTCTGTCATAAAGGCATCAGTACGCAGTGAATGCACATGTCGAAACAGCAGTGGCAAAATGTCTGAAGCGAAGAGTACACCAGCACGAGATGCGTACCAAAAGTGCCCATGAAAGCCGAGCGCTATGTGTTGCCGGGCTTTGCAAGCCATTTTCGCGCTACGACCAACTTCTGTTCACAAGGCTCCGGGCGGTCAGGATCTCTATGTCAGCGGAGCTATCCTGACACAAGGCTCTCAGCCATCAAGATTTTTGGAGACGCTTCTCGACAAAGGCGACGGACCTGACCCCGCGATCCGAGCTGCACAGGGCCCATACTTGTAAATCCCAAGCACAGATTTCCTTAATCTTTTAAAGTGCAGCAAGTGAGAACAAATCCGCCGACCTTGGGGGGCGTGTTGGATGGTTGCCGAAGGCGGAGAGGGTGCCC